CCAGGATCGCAGAAACACGAGGAGATGAAAACGCAATCAGGAGTGAGGGCCACTATAAAATAAAAGACGTATATCTGTTACATTTTTTATTGGCGATTAATATCTCTTCATTAATCATTAATCTACATTTATTACATGACCGTGCGAATTAAAATTATATAGATAATAACAAAATGTACATATTTGGAAGGCACTTTATAAACAACAAAGCATCAGTCAAAAAACTCGGAATCATGGATCTTACGTATAAAAATAATTTAAAACAGATACGTTGTCCGAGCTGATTGGCCAATACAAAATGGAACAAACAGTACAAGATTTGCAGTTCATTTGACAATCAAAAGCAGATACTTCTCGCAGCTTCTGTTACCCTATTAAAGAACAAGGCTCGTTATCAGGATCTCAAAAATATGTGGAAAAGGCAGTCTGCTCCTTATGCATGGTTGCCGGGAAATTCGAAGATTAAATACCTGTTTCCGCTTCTGTTATCCTGATACAGAATTTTTAACGACGAAAATCGCACATCCGGCAAGCTTCGATCATCAAATTTCAGTCATAGTGATTTACTATCTGGATCGCAGAAATGCGAAGAGGTATAGAAAAGACAGACCGCTCCTGATATACGATTGGCGATAAATTCAAATTCTCATGGAAAATACCTCTTGTCGCTGCTGTTGCCCTGATACACAATTTTAATTTTTTGAAAACCACACATCCGACCAGCTTTGTTGGCAAAAATAATAAGGATTTGCTACCAGGATCGCAGAAACACGAGGAGATGAAAACGCAATCAGGAGTGAGGGTCGCTATGAAATAAAAGACGATCTGTTACATTTTTTATTGGCGATTAATATCTCTTCATTAATCTACACGAGGAGATGAAAACGCAATCAGGAGTGAGGGTCGCTATGAAATAAAAGACGTATATCTGTTACATTTTTTATTGGCGATTAATATCTCTTCATTAATCTACATTTGTTACAGGACCGTGCGAATTAAAATTAAATAAATAATAACAAAAATGTACATATTTGGAAGGCACTTTATAAACAACAAAGCATCAGTCAACCAACTCGGAATCATGTATCTTACGTATAAAAATAATTTAAAACAGATACGTTATCCGAGCTGATTGGCCAATACAAAATGGAACAAACAGTACAAGATATGCAGTTCATTTGACAATCAAAAGCAGATACTTCTCACAGCTTCTGTTACCCTATTAAAGAACAAGGCTCGTTATCAGGATCTCAAAAATGTGTGGAAAAGTCAGTCTGCTCCTTATGCAAGGTTGCCGGGAAATTCGAAGATTAAATACCTCTTTCCGCTTCTGTTATCCTGATACAGAATTTTTAACGACGAAAAGCGCACATCCGACAAGCTTCGTTCACCAAATTTCAGTAATAGTGATTTACTATCTGGATCGCAGAAATGCGAAGAGGTATAGAAAAGATAGACCGCTCCTGATATACGATTGGCGATAAATTCAAATTCTCATGACAAATACCTCTTGTCGCTTCTGTTGCCCTGATACACAATTTTAATTTTCTGAAAATCACACATCCGACCAGCTTTGTTGGCCAAAATAATAAGGATTTGCTACCAGGATCGCAGAAACACGAGGAGATGAAGAAAACTCAATCAGGATTGAGGGTAGCTATGAAATAAAAGACGTATATCTGTTACATTTTTTATTGGCGATTAATATCTCTTCATTAATCTACATTTATTACAGGACGGTGCGAATTAAAATTATATAAATAATAACAAAAATGTACATATTTGGAAGGCACTTTATAAACAACAAAGCATCAGTCAACCAACTCAGAATCATGTATCTTACGTATAAAAATAATTTAAAACAGATACGTTGTCCGAGCTGATTGGCCAATACAAAATGGAACAAATAAATAAAATTTTAAAATATACAAAAAAACTTTGTACATATAACAATAAAAGAGACATTGTATTGGTCGCTTTGTAAAAAAATATGTTTCTTAAAAGTGACTCTGGCAAAATGACTGTATCCTATATCAGGATCACCTCAGTATATGGGTGAATCAATTTTGACCACAGGATTTAAAAACATACTCATTTTTTTTTAGGATACAATTGAATCATTACTTGAACATAAATAAATGCGGTGAAATCCCAATTCTGTAAATGGAAAATGATATAAAAAGATAAATAAAAAGCTTAACAAAATGCTTGCAACATAAATACATATGATGCCTATTCGCACTCAATAGGGACAAATCACTACATTATCAATGGATTTTACAAATAAAAAATAATGGTGTGATTAGGATACCAATAATGCATGATATGACATAAGTGATTTAGACATGTTTACAATATCATTGCCTTTCCATTTTATTAACACTGTTCAGAAGCCATCAGTGCAGATGCACGAAACATAAAAGTGACAGATGTATTTATAAATAATCACCAAGATTGCTTCTCGTACTAAGCAATAAGTTAGCAAAAAATCATATTTTAAAGCAGTAGAAATTTATAAAAGTGTTCTGTGCGAAAATCGGACGGCGACAGGGGTAGCATTTTAATTTGAAGTGTTGTTATTTGTTAAAATAACCCCCTGAGTCAGGTTTGACTTATAGTCATTGATAAAAATTACACTTTCATTTAGTTCTGTCTTTTCTAATGTACATGGTGATTCAGAGAAATATGGCAATGTTTCTAGGGTAGAAAACACATTTAAAAATAACAAAAGAGTCCCATTACCAAGGTACGTTTACGCAGTAAATTTCTGACATGAATATTTTTTTATAGCGAAACAGCCGCGCAGGCAGAAGCCTAAAACCAGGGCATCGCGGCTGCTATGAGGAGCTTAAAGAAACTTTGTTAACTCCATTTTTGAAGTACCTAAGGTTAGTAGAACTAGGAAAAGCCTCATCAGGTAGATTGTTCCACAATCTCGGTACCCTAGGGATAAAGGAACGGTCGTACACGCTAGTTCTGGATGCATGACGTTCGGCAAGGTTGGGATGGACAGCAGAAATCAACCGTGTCTGTCTGACAGGCACATTGCGCGGCAGCATCAGGGAAGGGAGCAAAGCCCGTTGTTATAGCGGTAGAAGAGAGCCAGAAGGCTATGGCGACAAAGGTTTACTTTCCTAAATACATTACATACAATTTTCAATGTCATAATGATTTTACCACAAATCTTCAACCCAATATTTCTAAACCTAGGTCAAAACAAAAATTTCTCAATAGAGGCGATTTATGTTAAATTGAAAATGATAATGAGAATGTTTCAAAAAGACCAGCGGCGTAGAAAATAATGTTCATTTTTCTTCTGTAGGGATAGATTAAAATCTCCCAATTTCTACGCCACTGGTGTAGCCCCAGTCAGGAAAATTTTGGTGCCTATATATTGACTATGATGTCACATTTTAAGTCAATATTTTAGTGCAGTTAGGAAATATGTTTTCATTTGGAAATTATAATTTCAAAACCCTATATCTCGCGTAAAGGGGCACTTTATGAACCCATATTTTTACTTTTTTCATTCTACTTTTTTTTTCTTATACTCCAACTACCACGAAGGCCTAAGGCCTAAGCACCCTTTGGGTACCGTGGGGCTATAGGGGGATACATGGGAAAAGGGGGTACTAGAAATATTGCCAGGTTTTTCTGAATAATCCTGTACAAATGAGATCAAGATCACTTGAATTAAAACATGATGCTCCCCACTACCACTGTGCTACTTGCTACTCCTGAGGTCAGCACGAGATCCTAGCAGCACGACGGCGGCATGTTGATTACTCGGAACATTTTTATAAACTTAGTAAATGCAAAAAATTCATAGAAAAATTCGAATACGCAGCGTTGTAAATTAAGAAACTACCATGAGCGGTTTCACAAAATTTTAGTGAGTGAACGTTTTGGCACGATCTAGTATTCCTCCCTTATATTTCATAAATCTACACCCCCAATGCTTCGAACATTAGACATTTAAAGCTGTTTCATTGTAAATATTTTGTACAATAATATCATTGTTAGTTCTACATAAAGCTCATGTTTACATAGACACATTACAAATTGTCTAAACAAATATCGGGTTTGGATTGTTTTCGCTTGTTCGATATACAGGACTTCATATATTTGCCTCTTATTGCTACGATGCTAAAATTCGTTGTGATCTACATGCCGATTGGATTATCTAAACACTCGAACGGTAGCTACTTTTTACGGTGAACTTCTATCGAACAACAATTCATGACTAGAGTCTAGATTCTTCAAGGTACTGAAACGCATAAGCCTAGATGGTCCAAACGCAGTTTATATTTGGAGAAGTATAGATGAGAAAGAACGTACTATAACAGTTTAAATTGAATAATGATATAAAACAGTGTTCGAATTTAAAAATGTGTCAAGGTGAAATTAAAAAATGTATAGTGATGCAATTTTAATAGTCAAGAATGTAAAATTACAGAAAATTGCTCAAATGTGTAAACGAATAATTATACAAAACTGGTGTATGGCTAGGCTAAATAATTTTAATATATACATCTGGATTTGAACTGATATCCATTATGAGTTGTTCTCTTGGGGATTTTCACCGTAAAAAGTATGTTTGGCTTCCTGCCTTTCATTACTTTGTATACAACTATGCTTCTACTTCTTACTTTTTGGTATAAAGTGGTTTAGAAATCCTATAAAATGCTTAAGAAAACAAATCGATATAAATGATCTGCTGTCGGCTAGGCTACGTGGTATATGCATGTTCTAATATCTAATTTTTCTACGAGTATTTAGAGGTGCTCAAAAATATATCGGTTATATTCAACACTGACATTAGATATATATGTATCATTTTAAAGCTACGTTAACACATTTAGTGGGATATTGAAGCACATCACATCTGTCAAAATTGCACTAAGCAAACTGAATCTCCGATTAACCGAACTGAATCTTGTCATACACAGTTTTTGTTGTTTCTGTCATGATCATTTTTCTTTTCTTAGTTACGTAAAACATTAAATTTTGTAATATCGAAGGTTTTTGAATCCTAAATAAGACAAATCCATGTCACTCATTGGCGCTGGTCTGACTGTAGGCATCTTTGTCAGTGACAAAGCGATGGCAAAATGTTTGAAAACAGTTGAGCAAAAAACAAAGAAATTAGAATGTCTCCAAACTTTTGTATAGTTCAGGCCTGGTAATTTTAGGCATAATCAATAAACAAGATACTTATCACTTCAGAAAGTAGTCGAATCAATTTATCAGATTATTATGAATCTGGAAATATGTTAGCTCATTTTTATGTTGTAAATGTCAGTAATGGTTTAATTGATCAGTTTAATCCAAGCATTTTTTAGTCAATCACGTATTCAATTTACGAGTGCATCGGTCCTACACATACCTACACATTTCAAAAGTCGGGCGATATCATTTCATCTTCAAATTTGATGCTTTCTTAAGTCATGCATAGGCTGGGAACACTATATCCTGTATACCGAAAAATTAAATTCGTTTTCGGTTTTGTGTTTTTCTCTAATATTTTTGTTCTGTTTGGTTTCATCATTCAATCCGATATTTTATGTTATTAGGCGTCAAGTTTACAGACACAAAATAAAAAGCGCTTTAGACTGAGGTAGTGATCTCACGCAGTATTCCCAGCTTATGCATATTCCACACAAAATCTTTCGTGCAAGTTATTCAATAATACAAGTGAATATGTATATAAGTTGTATGAAAATCTGTAAATATAAAGGTCTTATGATTTATCGGTGATGTGAATTTTTAGCTGTAGTAGAGCCCGGTTGATACAGTCTGCGTACTTTAAATATATCACAGATCTTTCAAGGTAGTGGATTTTATTGTTATTTTAAGCCGATAGTCTGCGACGCAGTGAGGTATCTGGAAATCCTGCGATTACGTCTGGGTGCCAAATTAGATGCTTTAACAAGATTTTTTTTAACAAATTATGCTTTTTCTCAATTTTGTTGAATGATAGATCCGAGCCTGACTGAATGAAAATGAGGAATAATTGTGCAAGAATTTATTATATTCCAAACCAGAGTATTTATTTCTATGATACCCTACGTCCATTTTAAGAGCGATATTTTTACTATGATGTGTGATACATATACATTTGCAGCTAAAATATCTGTACGATCAGTCATGTTAAAATTCTTTGTTCGATATCTTTGGGTTATTGAAAAAAGCTATAAAATAGTCTGTAAAAACACCAATGCTGTATATCCATATAAAACACTATTTTGTTGATCTATAAAAGCCTACAATACAATAAATTTGCCCAAGTTGTCCGCTAAAAGGTTTTTAAAAATAATAGTTTACGAATAAGCTCTGTTATCTAGTTAAAATTGCTAGTCGGCCCCACGAAAATATTGGCATTGTACAATAACGGCTTGGAGCGCTAGTATCGCTAGGAAAAGGCATCTCACAGACTGGCAAAGTATGTTGGGTTATGTAAAAAGCAAAATAAAACTGTCATTTTAATGGAAGTCAGAACTACACTTGCAACTTATTAAATAAGTTTAGTTTCTCTCCAAAAATTACACAAAACACGTTTTATTTTTGAATTCGGACAATTTTGGGCAAGTCAAACTGAAGATGTTAAAATATCGGAAAGAGTGTCTTATTTTTGGACACCATTTGTTTCAGGCTGTGACACGTACCGCAGAATTTTTAGATAAATTTGAGCCTCTAGTAGAATAAAATCGGTACATCCACTAAAATTGTGTAGATTATTATTTATTCGTTACACTGCCACTTTATTTCAGCATTTTACATAACTTCACTTGTCACTTCCTCCGTGTCGAGGTGCGAGACTAGCGCTCCTAATGGCCAGTGTATAACGCCAATTGAACATCTATTCTATTATATTGTCATTATTTATAAATAGTTAAAGCGACATATTTTAAATATCTTTCTAGAACACTGTACATTCAGCATTGAGTAGAATCGACCATCGAACAGGGACAATCACTATCCTTATTTTACACTTCAAACCCCTCCACTGAAAAATAGTACACTGATTCTATCAAAAGTAACCTTAAATACTCATTTTGGCGGTATATTATCTGCCAGCAAAAGAATGCAAGAAATAAAACGGTGAGAGGTGCCGCAGAAACCGCTAGGTGTTACCGTATAGTCAAAGAAACTGTTCTCGAGAAAGGTGGTTAAATAAAAAAAATTACAGCTAAGGAACTACCACGTGTAAGGTAATAAGAAAGGCGAATCAAAAAAGGCTACCCTGTCCCTGGAGATATTTGATAGTATTCCTTTTCAAGTAACAAGATGAACTAAACACAATAAACGGGACTCGGGGAATGACTATACGCTCTCTTCTAAAAGTTACAAATGACCAAATTGGTGCACAATCCGCAGCATCAAGATATATTGACTAAAATGAAACGACTAGTAGAAATTTTCAATTAACACTTGTGAGCACTTACCCCACCCATGGATGAAGGCTTTCAATAATCATGTTATTATCACAGTATTGCAAATTGTAGGCTATGTTTGGTCCCAGTGTTCAAAAAACACGACGGAAGTTTTTTTTTTTTTAGAATACACACACGTTCAAGTGCCACTATGGTTTGAAGCATTTTCATTGCATGTGAAGCTCAATAGGATGCGTTACCGTCTACGAAGAATTTTCTTCTTATATTAGTCAGCATTTTTAGTATACGTTTATACCAAAGATGCCTCACTGCGATATCTTAATGCCTTGCACGTCCGCTGCAATACTTCGACAATTAGGATGGTCATAAGTATTCACCGCCTTGCCCAGAGAGAGACTTGAAATATTTACAAAAAGAGTGTTCTAACAACAATCGGTGTATGTTTAGATGCCATGTTGCCAAGAATCATCTAGCCCCCAGGTGGCCCATGGTATCCACTGCTAGACCAAATGTTTATTACGATAACAGAATCATACTTTTGTAAACAATTTAGGTGTTTTTTTCTGTCAGGTCTGGTTGCGCAGATACCAGACAGCCAATGAGAAAAAAGGGAATAGAGAAAGGAAGGGAGAATGAGGTGCGTCAACTTTTAGGGATGCCTTAGCATTGTATTGTATTGAGAAATTTCAAATTGATCCTAAAATTAATTGCGTTTATTTAAACATCAGACGGGGCACTGCTACGTTTTTTAGTATATATATAGCCTGCGTTTTCGAATGATAAATGTTGATCAACCACCGATCCGTCCATTCTAATAACTCGTCCACCGCACTTTGCAGCCGTGAAAAAGTGTAATGTACTGAAAGGCACCGTAGTGACCGAAACGTATACTACATTAAAAAATAATCTCAAATGTATGTGGTTCCATTGGCCAGACAAGCATGTGGGATTATGTAACCAGTGGTTTATCATGTAGCTTCACTCAAATTGCCTTGTCTTAATATTTTTTAACGAGAGTGTTCTCAGGCGAAATTCTGCCTTTTACGCGGTTTGTTCGGAAAATATGCATGAAAAATTCGTGGCGTTGTGGAGGGGCCCGGTGGTTCCCTCTCTCTATGCAATCCCATCTATGCTCAGTTCGAGCCGGAGCGCTCTGCGAGTCAGTAGGATTTACGAGTGCTTGTTGAAAGTAACACTTTTTTTACCTGCCATCTACATGGGGCTCTCTCAAAAGTGGAAACGGCGTTGACAGAAATAGAAATGCATCATGTCTCAGGGGGAGTAATTTTAAGGAGACCATACTGAAATACTTGAACAATTGTATCCATTGCAATTGTCAAAGCATCTAAACTGATTTCAGCTTAACCATGGTGAAGATGTCTAGCGTATCGTGAGCTGTAATAATCGTCACATTCTTTGAAGACACATTTCTTTTTCAACAATGAACCACGTATGTGCAATGCATCAAGGTATTGCAGTGAGGCAGGTTCATCATGAACGAACCGATAAATTATTATTAATATGATTTCTTATCATTTCCTATGATGTGATATAGCTACGTTACATAAATATCTCTTTGAGAAAAATATTCAGTTTTTCCTAATCATCACTTTGATGCCTCAAGTTCCCAACCCCAAATTGACAATATCCAGGCATTCAGTCCCTGTTTCGATGATCGATTGCAGCTTTTCTATAAACCAAACGTACATATCACATAGAAACATCAGGAACACAAAGAAAAGCCGGCGCCTTCTTCCTCTTTAGGAAGTACACGTTCATGTGGTCCTTACCTTTCACGTAAATCGTACCTCTCTTCTCGAATTCGTACCTGAAACAATAAAAAATAGTAAGGAAAGGAGATCGTTGATATATGAGGAACAGTGTCGGAGCTAAGACCGATCCCTGGGGAACACCCGCGTTAACATTGTCATATTTCAAAATTGTTGACATTTTAGAGTACGCCCTATAACAAACAGTGACACAGAAAACGTCGAAAATAAATTTTGTGATTTTTTGTTCAATCCTCATTCCGAAATATGTCTTTTTAACATGCTTTTATTAGCTTGGCCAGCATGCAAGTATACGTACTAGCATGCTGGCCAGAAATCTTACTATCTAATTTTAACCAAATTCAACAAGTCTGATTAAGGTGAAAATTTGCATAGGGGTCAAGGGCCAATCGCAATAATCTTGAAAAAAATCGAATTTGTAAATAATAAAAAATGAAATTTGAAATTTAGAAATTTGCAAAAAGGCAGTAAATTTAGATTGATTGTCAAACACTTAATATTCCAAAAATCGAAGGTCTTGATTGTTGTCGTTTTGAGAAATTGAGAAAATAAATTAATCATAGTTTAAAAAAAACGAAAAAACTCGCTTTAATGGAAAATCGTAACTAAAAAGTAGAAAATAATTCTCGAGCATAGGAGAGTTTGTGTTTTTTCAATACAAAGTCCCACTATCAAGTATTTGACTAATTAATTTGAAATGAAATCAATATAAAAATTGAGATATTAATAAAAAATTCAATCATAGTAAAATATTATATGTATGTGTGACTGTATTCTGTAGTTTGTCACCAATAACTACTGTAAAGTTTCACCGCTCTCCGCCGGGAAGACTGATTGTCCTATAACGATACTAACATCGCCGGGCATTAAAAAGTTCTCACCTGTTCTGCAAAATTTCCAGACAGTGCTCGCCAACTTGTATTTTCCCTTTCTCCCCCGTAGTGTCCATTCGCGATGCTATGTTCACAGCATCTCCCCATATGTCGTAGTATAGCTTGGTGTTGCCTATGACAGCAGCTGTCACATCCCCGAAGTTGTAGCCGATCCTCAGTTCCAGGTCGAATCCCAAAAGGTCTCTGTTGAAGTTGTCTACTACGCCTTGCATCTCGATTGCGAAATCCATCAAGGCGTACCTTGGAATGACAAATTGATAGGATTCGTATACAGTGCTGATATATCTGTAGCAGTTTTTTTTTGGGAAACAAGGAGTTGATCGTATAGACTACAAAAAATAATATCTCAGATTCGTATAACACCATAATATAAAGACAATTGAAACGCACAAGCAAAATATGTCAAATAGTGGCACGTGTTCTAAACTTACTTACAAAATTTGAGTTAATTTTGATTATCAGTTTTCAATTTATAATGTGAATTAAAAGAAAAAGTGAGTGACTCAAAATTAGAGTAACGCAGTGTCATGAAATTTCTAACAAAAAAGAGCCATCAACCGGAGACAATTCTTGACAGAATGGTTGCCGTCTATGAGGATGATGCACCATCATATTATACTGGGTGCGCCATGTATTACTTTTTTTTACCTATAAGTTTATGTGTTACCATGTGAGTCAAAAGTCATGTGGTATGCATAAATGAACACAACAAGGCATTTTGGTTATCCAAACTCATGAAAACGGTCGGAGTATAAAAAATACTTTTCGCAAACTTCGCACTAGTTTTGGCCGACATGGACGCCCTCCAGAGCCTAGAATTCGTTGGATTGTTAATCGTTTTGAGGAAGCTGGTTCAGCTGAAGGTCGTAGACCATATCAACATGCTCGTCCAGCTGGTACTCGTGAAAACATAGCCGCAGTGAGTGAAAGTGTGCGACTAGGCACCGTTCGCAACAATTGGGAATTAGTGAGACCACTTTACGCCGGATTTTACACATTGATTTACACCTCCCTCCATACAAAATCCAACTACCACAAGAATTGAAGCCAGCAGACCATCAACAGCGGCGTGTTATTGTTAATTGGATGCTGGAAAGAGAAGACAGATTTTCGGCCAAAGTGCTCTTTTCTGATGAGGCTCATTTTCACCTCAATGGGTACGTAAATAAGCAAAATGGCAGATTCTGGGGGGCTGAAAACTGGTGGCATCGTTGGACCATTCTTCTTTGAAGATGCCGAAGAAAGGGCCATTACCGTCAACGGGGAACGTTATCGCGGCATATTAACAGACTTTGTGGCCACAATTGGATCGTATTGGTGCCGACGATCTTTGGTTTCATTAAGACGGAGCAACAGCTCACACATCTCCCCAAACAATCGCCTTATTGCACACGAAATTTCAAGACCGCATAATTTCACGAAATTCAGATGTCAGTTGGCCCCCGAGATCGTGCGATTTAACATCTCTTGACTATTTTCTTTGGGGATTTTTGAAAGGAAAAGTGTATGCGAATGGTCCCCGGAAAATTCAAGACCTAAAGCGCAATATTCGGACTGAAATTGCGGCCATACACCCGATTATTCTGAGAAAAGTCATTGAAAATTTTGATGTTCGGATGTTGGCCTGTAAACGAAGCCGCGGTGGTCGCATGACTGATGTTATTTTTCATACATGAATGGCATAAACCAACCTTAATTTATCATTAAACAAATTTTATTTCACCTCGTAAAAAGCGTGTTGATTTTTCAAATAGAAAAAAAGTAATAGATGACGCACCCGTACAATGAAATTTTGGTCGATGGGGGCATGAATTCTTATAAGACGATCCCAGAAATGGAAGACACAATACAGCAACAAATGATGAAAAAAGTATGGTATTGAATATATCGGAAACCATCTTGCACGACAATTTGAACATAAGACAGTTGACACCTGAACAAAAATTGCATAAATCGTGACGGGAAACGAGACTTGGGTGCTACAGTGGGATTCTGAAAATTTAGTGATTCTGAAAACAGACTCATAATCAGCGAGACCAAAAAATCTCAGAATATAGATTTTCAGATCACATAAAGTTTTAGGTTTCTGTAGAATCAAACAAGTAAAGTTTTTTTAGCTGAAAGAATATCCTTTCTATTCCCGAGCCATTATTATACTAGAGATTTAATTAAATTCTTTTTCACGGAGACCATTAGGATTTCTTGTGGTGTCCTTTAGGGGTCTGCATCTCCGTAGAGAATTCCCAATGGTCAAATAAAACGGATGACCTGCTTATTGGTGTGACCGATTTTATCATTAAATTATACTCGTAGTTCCGCAGTTATAGAAGTTTCCGCAAGATACAAAAGCAAAATTGAGAACATAAAGTACTTACAGATGTTCATATGGATCCTTCTGCTGTTGCCGCATCTTCGAATTCAACCCACTAGCCGCCATGAAAGTCGACCCGATTGTCTTTATCTTCTCCACGCATCTGAACTCCGGGTAGTTAAGCAGATCATCGAAATCCCCGATCAGTTCGTTGAGTACCCTGAGGTACTCCCGGCCCCACTCGTAACTCTCGTCGTACATTTCGTTAAAGTTGACTATGCTGGCGAATATGATGGCAACGTCTTTGAAATTTTCGGAGTATTTGGCTTCCTTTTTTAGTTGTTCTGCGACATGTTCCGGTACAATGTTGTAGATCAGGTAGTCCGCTTGGTTCTTTAATCTTTGTACTTTGTTTTTGTCTTTGTTTGCCACGAAGTTGGCGTGAAAACTGACGCGGTAACCTGCAGATACAGTTTGTAATTATTTGTGGCGCTAGCCATCTCATGTAAACGTTTATGATGCAGATCGTCAAAAATCAAGAGCAATCGCGTATCTGATTAGTTGCTTGCAAAACTGTGTTTATTCGACAAAGATGAGATATACAGGGTGTAAACGTTATGATAGTCATTATTTAAATGGGTGATAGAGCAAGAAGTTTCATATAAAATGGGGGTGAAAACGGCATTTTTTTAGAGAAAAGCGACTTTAAAGTAAAATAAAATCTGACAACGCCGCAATGCTAGACGCAAATTACGACGGAACGCAGTGTAAATAAAGATGGAGTTTGTTATTTTTAGCTCGTATGTATTATTTCATTATTTGATAATGTACTCGTAAAATGCAAACAATTTTGATACATACATTGTTTTTCTTTTTAAAACCCACACTGCACTTTTTTTGTATTTAAAGAAGGTGTTCAAAATGCCGTCCTCCACTTTACACACAAGCTTCATTACGACGAACCCAGTTTCTTCTTACTCTAGGTCCTCGAAGTTGTCCATTTATTATTTCAGCCGCATTAAAATTTTTTCCGCGAAGTTATGCTTCAGTTGCTTTTGGACCAGCCCCATAAACCATTCCTTTAAGTTCTCCCCAATACCAGAAATCCATCGGATTGAGGTCAGGAGATCTTGCTGGCCATTTTCGAGGATCAGGAGCATTTCGACCGATCCAGCGATTTGGATAATGTTCATTCAAATACTGAATGACGCCTCTAAAAATGTGTGGTGGTGCCTCGTCAGGAAGAAACCACAAATTCTGTCTTCGAAAGGGCCAATTACCTGATCGTCAAGAATAGCCGCCCAAATATTCATTTTAAAACGTTGTTAGAAATGACCTTCACGAATGGTATGATGATTTTCTTGAGCCCACGTGTGAGTATTATGGAAATTTAATATCCTGTCTCGAGTAAAAGTACATTCGTCCGTCGCCAGAATGTTTTTAAAAGAATCCGGATTTTCAATGTTTTTGTGCAAAAACCACTGACAGAACGTTAGTCCGCGAGGATAGTCTTCTGGTAACAAGGCCTGCACTCGTTGTACATGGTAGGGATGCAAATTTTCCCGTAGAATTCCATGGACTATGGTATGCGATAGTCCTACGCGGCGGCCTAATTCCCGAGTGCTGATATCTGCATTGATCTCCACGATAAGTAATTGAAAGTAATTTATCTATGCAAAACGTTAACTATCCACTGTTACCGTTTGCGATCGATTGCCGGTTCGATAAGAGTGATGAAAGACCAACGGGCTTTTGTCATGTGTGTTTTAAATATTTAATTTAATGAAACTTACTTACTTACTGACTACAAATGTTGGCTTAACTTAGAAAAACTTAATGCCATTTATTTGTTAATTACCCAATTAAAAAACGTTTTAGATTAGATTATAAAAATTAGTAAGATTGTGGTCGATATAAAGCACTTAAAATTGTAAAGTATAAAGCCATTTAGACAAAAATCTATTGACTTTTGGACCATGGGTCATATGAACTTTTTGACTTGTTTTGATCCCCCTATTACTCATTTCAATAATGACTAGCATAACGTTTACACCCTGTATAATTAAAATCAATTCTAGAACTTCATGCAAGACTTTATTCCTATATTTTAAAATAATGGCTGTTGCGACATTATTTTTTAGAAACAGCAACTCTTATTTTCACGAGAAGGTTGTAAAAACAACTCGGTAAATGACTGTACATTTTCGAGCTGATCAACCATCGAACTGAACGGTTAAGGATCAATGACAGTGAGAACAAAGGCCTACCATTTGAAATCGGACTGAAGCAATCAACAAAGGGTTGGCTCTTCACAAGGCGCGTGATTTCCTAAGCGAGTGACGCTTTCACGGATATTTATATGACTTACCTATTTCGAACTGCCTGGTCAGCATCCAGACCAGCAAGACCAACAACAGCTCATTCAGAATAAACTCTGATTTGTAGAAAAAACATTGTCTAGCATGTCTTTCATTCGCAAACGGCTCAGTAATGTTCTCCGAGTACTTCGAATCGGAGACCAAAACCTCATCGAATGTGCCGTTCGGCAAGGTGAGACCTCCGTTTTCGACCAGGCAGGGGTTCCAAATGAAAGTCAAGGTCAGCGCTATCACACATGCACTCACCTAAAAAGATTAACGGAGATTTTAGAATCGGATATAACACAAAGTGACAGGCACAAAATATGGAATTTGACCCGACCAGCTGAAGGCTATACCAGTAGCGGAGTTCCAGCACTGCTATGAGGAGTGGAAGAGCCGTCTCCAGCGCTGTGTGGCTTTAGAAGGAAGTGATTTTGAGGGTGACCATATAAAATTGTAATTATGTTAGAATATACAGCAGACGCTCGATAATGTAAACTAATTTAATCCAAGTGTGGTTCATATTATCGAAATGTTTACATTAGCGAACGTGATTTATATAATATTTGATTTATTAAAAGAAACGTTTAATACATACTATTTATAACAAAATAAACAAATATTCTAACATCGATAAGTATTTTTTTAATTAGAAGAAAAATAATTAACAATTTTTGTCTGCGTAAATTTGCGCTTAGCATTGTCTTCCAATGCCTGCGCCCGTAATTTACGAAGAACTAAAATATCCGTGTATGAAACTTTTTTTCTTTCAGCTCAATCTAAAGCTTGGTTAAAAACTTGTATAGCTTGCGCATCAGTCACTACACTTCTGACTTCAATGCGATCGTTCTCATCATCCTCACTGTCCATATCCTCCTCCTTATCAGCATCATTCGTCTGCTTATCTTCGTTCCATAAATTAATATCAGCAGGAGTACAAACAATGTTGGGATTCACTGTTTTCAATAAATCAACAACATCCAATGACACACTAATAACATTATCATTATTGGATCGCAAACGTTCTCTAATTACGCTTAAGGGGGGCATCGTCTTCTTCATCATCTTCATTATTGGAACAAAAGAGATTGTTCCAACATTTTTGGGCCATATGTAAATCTAAAACAGCTTCTCGTAATGTTACTTTTTTTAAAGCCCCAGATAAGTTTTCAGGATTCTTTAATAAGACAGACGAAAGTAGAAACTTCCTATAGTATAGTTTGGCGAGTCTTATTAAATTCTGGTCCATTGGTTGAATTAACGGTGTTACGTTGAGCGGCATGTACATGACGAAAATTGACCCATCCCTGCTCCTCAGTTGTTGCTCGGAGGATGACTTGGTGCATTATCCAATAGTAACAACGCTTTTATTGGAAGCTTCTGTTGTTTTAGGAAACCTTTTACTTACAAATTGAAACCACATCTTCAAATTATGAATAGAGCATTTGTGATAATTGATTGTCATACCTGAGGGACAAAGCACCTGTGAAACCATTTCAGGAATATACTGCTAGTCATCCAAGCGGTTTTTGAACAGTCATAATCCACAGGGATATTAAAATTTTTAAATGAGCGCGGATTTTTTGCTTTCCCAATTACCAGTGGCTTTATTTTGTGTGAACCATTAGCATTAGTGCAGGCTAGAAACGTTATTCGTTGTTTCTCCGGCTTTCTTCCCGGGGCAGATTTTTCAAATGATGCAGCATAGGTTTTCTCTGGTAACGTTTTCCAATAAAGGCCACTTTCATCTGCGTTGTAAATTTGTTCCATTCTTAAATCTAGCTCGGTAATTGTTTTCATCAATTTTTCTTTGAATGGTTGCACTAATTGTGGTTGTGCTGATAATTTTTCACCAGATATAGACAGCAGTCGAATTCCATATCTTGTTTTGAATCGTTGTAGCCAGCCATCACTAGCTACGAAATTTTCAGTTTCTTTCAGTTTTTCATTTAACAGTCTCGCTCTCTGTTTAAGTACTTCGCCACTAACTGGGACATGATTTTCCCGTTGTTTTAAAAACCACTTATACAGGGAATTTTCCATTTTAGGTGCATTCGCATTTTTTTAAGTTTTTCTTTTTCCCGGACCTCCAAATGTATTGCACGTTCTTTGTAAAATTTGAGTTTTCATACGCTTAATTTTACAGATTGTTGCTTTCGATACTCCATATTTTTTGCTAACTGTGTCACTCCCGCACCCAGTGCAACTTCGTCTATGATTTTCACTTTCTCACTCAACTTTAAACACTTTCTTTTATAGGATGTGGATGCCATAGTCGTAAAATATATTAACGCGTGCAATGTATTCACTTAAGTTCAAAAATGAAATACATACGTACGTATAAACGTATCCTAAACGATCATACGACTGACCGAGTTTGTCGTATTTTATCGCAGAGGTGAATCCCCTACACTCTACATCATAAATCGGGGACTCCCCGACGCCCGACATAAATCATCGAGGCTTCAGCATTTTACCGTCGCGCTGTTTCCGTGCGCCGAGAGTTGTTTACGTTATCGAGCGTACACCTTGTTTACGTTATCGCGCGTTCCGTTTGATCCTATAGAACGAAGTTTGTGTTTAAATTAGCGCAAGTTTTCATTATCCCGTGTTTACGTTATCGAGCGTCTGCTGTGTTTTTTTAAAAATCAGTTTTATCACTTAATTTTCAGACCTCGTATATCTCTAAAGTCTATACTCACCACGATGTTCTTCATCCAACAATTCAGCTGCGTGAAGTTACAAAAGTGCATGACGCCTACGAAAAAGAGGTAGCTGAAGGTGTTCAGATGCGCTGGGGCTATGTTGCCGTCATCCAGGAAGTTGACCGTAGCTGATATCAAAGGGAGACTGACAAGGATGAGGCCCAAAAAATTCCATCGGTAAAAACGGATGAAACACCAGAAAATTCTGTCCATCAGGCGTACTAGGCTACGGACGCACAGAGCTAGGCCTGAAACACGATTCGTTTTGTTTAGATTCACATTCGGAAATTCGTAAATATGAATCATTTTCAAAATACAAACAACAAGAGTAATAATAATAGCATTCTATTGCCCAACAGAAAAATCCATTTACAGGGCAAACAATACAAAAAGTTGCTACATTTCATTATAAACCTGAAAATAATGATCAACGTTACATACATACATAAGGATCTACATCTTATGTTAAATTAAGCAAAATCTTTGGGCCGTATTTACATGCCGTTGAGAAACTTGTAAAAAGTTAATGGCTTACTCAGGTATTTGGGAAAAACTAAAACTTGGCCAAATCATTATTTTTCTGACTTTATTTTAAGAAATATCAAAAAATTAATGAAACTTTTTCATTGGAATTTTTTAGACACTACATGATGGTGTTTTTGAATGTTGTGCTAGACGATTCGTTTTTGAGAAACCATCATCAACTTTATTTTTTTATATGGTCCGAAAAAAGTACTCCCTGTATCTGATAGTATCTTTTTCTATGAATCCAACGATGTATCACATGTTACATTTGTTTTCTTAGGTATAAAGAAAAATGTGTTTTTTTTATTCTTTATTCTATTTAAGTAGGCGCTTATGTTTATCATTAATTTTATTTTATTCACAATAGGTGTTCAAATAGGATTTGTCGAATCATATTAGCAAATTTCCCCGAAATAATTGTGAAGTCTGGTTTTATTTCTGCAAGATGTTCAGGGGGTCCTTTAAAACATGGACGTATAAAATGAGTACATCAATTTTTGTGGCAAAACTTTTTATTTGACAACAAAGAATGAGAAAACGGGTTTTTTTGGATTCTCCCGATATTTTGCCCAGTGGTTATCACCTTTTTTTGTCTCATGAGGCACCAACAGTTCACAACTCGAGATGGTGCAATAAATGCAAACCGCCAATCTTTTTACTCCAAATCCAGGGAGTTCTACAATACCGGCATACAAAAATTGGTTCCACGTTGGCAAAAGGTCATTGAATTTGATAGTAATTACTTCGACGAATAAATAGTGTCATTGCTTCTCAATAAAAATTTATATTTTTCTACTAAAAACCGCACGAACTTATTTAGTTAACTGATACTTCTAAATAACAACAACAAAATTGAATTATACTAAGTGACATATAAATCCGAACACCCAGTTTAAATGGTTTTATTTTAATAAAATTTTGTATACTTAATGAAGCATAATAAGTAAATGATAAAAATTTCAAAATGATTGCACTGCTTTAAAGCCCTTTGACCTTTAATAAGGTGTGGATGCACCCTGATATGCTACGCATTCTCCAACGCGCCTAGGCATGCTTCTGATCAGGTGGTCAATGTCCTCCTGTGGTATCTCATTCCAGGCAACCACCAACTCCTCTCGAAGTGCTTCTAGAGTCTGAGGAGGACGTTGCAAATTGAGTAATCTCCTACCCATCATATCCCACACGTGCTCAATTGGGGATAAGTCGGGTGAACCATGGTAACAATGTGACATCATTATGTTGAAAGAAGTCTATTGACTCTTGCAACATGTGGTCGGGCATTATCTTGTTGGAAAGTTGGATCTGCCAGGGTGTCAAGATAGGGTAAAAGATGGGGTTCTAGAACTTCGTGGATATAACGCTGCGCGTTCATGTTACCTCTGATGAAGATTAAAGGTGACCTGGAACCATAAGCTATAGCACCCCAAACCATAACTCCAACAGTGTGATGAACATGTCTTTCAACAAAAAACTGTGGATTCCTCCTTTCACCACGTCGCCTTCTAACCCTGGCACGACCATCGTGCATGCCTAAACAAAAGCGAGACTCGTCACTAAAGACAATACTGTTCCATTCCTGATCCCAGAGTGACCGTTGTCTGCACCACTCAAGGCGATTACGTCGGTGTTCTCGAGTTAAAGGGAGGACCCAGTGTGGCCGGTATGAAAACAAGCCAAAACTTCTCATTCGTCGGTAAACACTTCGCATGCCAATAGGTCTTCCGTGTTCTGCAAACCATTCATTTGCAATGGACCTGGTAGTGGAGAAACGGTCCCTTAAGGCCAATAACTTAGGCGGCGATCTTCACGGTCTTTTGTTCTACGGCGGCGTCCAGTGCCCCTTGCTCTTTGCGTACGGCCTTCTCGAAGCCATGCCTGACAACACCTAACCACAGTATCTACACTTCTTTGCACTCTAACTGCAATTGCCCGAAAAGAAAGTCCAGCTTCCCGAAGTCCCACTATACGGCCCCTATCAAACTCACTAAGTTGACGAAATCGTACAGGTCTCCGTACTCTAGGCATCGTAACCGATCGTAAAGGATGTCAAGAACCAAAATCCGCCAACGTTGATTCTTTACTGCGGCTGAAATATTCATTTTTAGAGCGTTAGTGAATTAAAAAAAAGCAGTATAAAAACCGGAATGTCCAACTGATAAGGCTGAAAATTTTTTCACTTGTTATTTACAGTAAGATAAATACATTCACCAACACCGGATGCACCTCTGTTTGCTTTTAAACTCCTTACTCAGCAAAACATCGTCAATATAATCTCTCACATTAAGTCTACGCCATGTGGCTCTGATGGTCTAACTTTAAATATGGTTTGCTTATGTTTGCCTGATACCATAGACCATACAACTCACATTATTAATGTCTGTCTCGAAACAGGTTACTTTCCTGCCAGCTGGAAAAATGCTAAATAGCTAAAACTAATCATCCAGAACAATATTCGGATCTCAGGCCAATTACCTTATTATGCTTTCTATCAAAAATACTCGAAAGAGCTGTCTACTCACAACTAGTGGAGTTTTTCGAACAAAATCACTTATTTCCTCTACATCAGTCAGGTTTCAGAGCTGGTTACAGCACTACTTCGTCTTTATTACATCTTACTGATTCCATCATTCACAATTTAGACATCACATCAACACCGTCTTGGTACTGTTAGATTTCTCGAAAGCCTTTGATATGGTCAATCACCAGACACTACTGAGTAAGTTATCTCATTATGGAATGTCAGATATAGTTCTAAGGTTCTTTGAGTCATACTTGCTAAATCGTCAACAAACAGTGAAAACTGGTCAGGGAATTTCCTCCTCTGAGCCAATTCCTTCAGGAGTTCCTCAGGGCTCAGTATTAGGTCCCTTACTATATCTGATTTATACGATCGATCTGCAAGACTGTTTAGTCCACTGTAGTATGCAAACTTATGCAGATGATACTCAGATAGTGTTTGGTTTCGATCCGTCAAAGGTTGATGAAGTTTCTTTTAAAGTTAATTTAGATTTGGCTAACATCGGTGATTACTGTAACAAACACTGCTTCCCTTTTGTGGATTACGCCAAGAATCTCGGTGTTACCCTTGACTTAAATATGAGATTCAATCGGCATGTCTCTTTCTTATCTAGAGTAACGTATTTGGTAGGTAGGTAATTTTGGATTGCGCAAGTTTAGTCGCGTCTCAGATAAAATCACAGAACTCAACTGGTTGCGAATTGATAAGTTATTTTTATATCTTTTGACCGTCTTCACGCATAAAGTTCTACTATCTAACAGACCAGCTTACCTCGCTAGCAAATTAGTTCACCGAGGTAGTTTGTTACCAGAGCTCTTAGATTTAATGCTAATTTTAACAAGCCTCCTCACAATACCTCGGTCTTTGAAAGAAGTTACACCTATAATGCTGTCAAGCATTACAATGCAGTCAACAGTGGCTATCGATCCAAACAGGTTGTTTCTTTTAAGAAATTAATGAAAAGTCAGCTGCTGAGTCCATTTAGTTCAGTTTTTCTTGTGCTCATGTGATTTTTTTTTAATTTTTTTGTTTGACTATTTTCTACTATTTTTGTTTCAAATTTAAAACTCTCGCAATACTATCTGCATTTGTCTCGTGCAATCAATGTTGTCATTCTTATGAATTGTATTTTTTTTGGTATGTTATTATTTTGCTTATGTGTTTAAGTATTATTTTTTCCTGTTGTGGGATTGAGTGTAAGAGTAGCCGTCTGGCTAAACTTCGCCTCACTGCAGTTAATAAAGGCATTATTATTATTATTATTATTATTATTATTTAACCTAATATATGCCACAGGTGTGGAGATTCCCATGCATAGGATCCTTATCTTGGACACCCTGTATATAATGTATTATAATTTTTTATTTACTTATTTTCCGATCTTGTTCTTGTCTCTTTTTCTTCAAGGCATAAATTTCCGTATCGTGTTACCAACTAACCAGCTAGGTGAGTTAGGTGGAAGAGTAGCGAATGGTAAACTTCACCAATCAGTCAGTTTGTTTCTAAATAAGAACGACTATTATTATTAGTATTTAATGAATTGCTTACCCAAACATTGCAACGCCAGGAAACAAAAAAAAGTAATCATCCACGCATACGTAACTCCATACGCAAGTGCGCCACTTATCGACACCAGCAAAAACACCAAAATCGACACGACGACATCCAAATACGTATTAAAATTCGAATTGGCCAATGTGGTTACTGCGTGCTCCTCTCTGCTAGGAATATGATGTACATTCATCCTATACTGCTTTTCCATTTCCTTGTCCGAAAAGAAAAGCGTCGTTTTCGAGAGAGGAGGTTTGATGAAATAAGACGATCTCGACTTGGAGTTGTCCTGGACACACTTGATGAGCTGTCTATCGGACTGCTTGCGTAAGTTTTGGATGCAGGTACCGAATTTGTCGAAGAATGGCCCCATGTGGCGGGACGGTAGTGTCATGTTTATGGAGCATTGGCTGGAGGTGTAGTAGCCTGACACCCTGTGCTGGAGCATTTCAGAGTTTAACAGGGTTGTGTCAATCTGAAAAAAAAATATTTCTAAAGACTGGAGTATTAATCACGTAGTTGTGCAAGATGTTTTGCGGGAAATACAAAATTTGAAAAGTTTAACTTAAAAATGTCTGCGTATTCATTACAAAGGCGCACTCCTGAACTAAAGTAGAAATTTGTCACAAAAATTCTAGTTGCCAGGAAATAAAGTGATAAGGATTAAAAAAGAGGGAAAATAATAGCAAACTGTCACGAAAAGTAAAATATGTGTTAATATCCCAAGGAAAGATCAAGTTAATTTAATCTTATTTTAATAATAAACGGTGATTTTTTAAGAGGTATAGGATTTGATTTTCAAAAAAACACAAAAAGATTTTAAAAATTGATTTAACCTTTATTTGAGTCGATAGAACGGTCGATATAATTTAATGTTTAAAGATTATTTCATGTAAATTTTGGCACACTCTCTCCAGCATATCGGCCGGTATCTCACGAATAAATGCTTCAATATTGGCTTCCAGTGCGTCAATCGTTGCTGGTTTATCCCTGTAGACATTAGCCTTAACATGGCCCCACAAGAAATAGTCCAACTGCGTTAAATCACACGATCTAGGCGGCCAATTGACGGGCCCCAAACGTGAGATAAACTGTTCACCGAACTCGCCTCTCAATAGGACCATTGTTTCGTGTGCGGTGTGGCATGTGGCAACGTCTTGTTGAAACCACATGTCAGCCAAGTCCAGCACTTCCATTTTGGACAAAAAAAAGTTTGTCATCATCGCACGGGAGCGCTCGCTATTCACAGTTACGTTCCAGCCATTGTCGTCTTTGAAGAAATACGGCCCGATGATGCCACCGGCCCATAATCCACACCAAACAGTGATTTTTTCGGGATGCATTGGTAGCTCTTGCAATGCTTCTGGCTGGTCTTCACTCCAGATGCGGCAATTTTGCTTGTTAACGTGCCCATTCAACCAGAAATGAGCTTTGTCGCTGAACACAATTTTTCGATAAAAATGTGGATCTTCCTCCAACTTTGCCAGCGCCCATTCACCAAATGGGAAACGTTGTGGGAGGTCGTGTGGCTTCAATTCTGGAACCAGCTGTATCTTATAAGGTTTTACACCCAAATCCTGTCGCAAAATTTTCCACGTAGTGGAGTAACAGGGGCCCAATTGTTGCGAACGGCGGCGAATCGACATTTCACGGTCATCACTAACACTGGCGGATACAGCCGCAATATTTTCTTCAGTCCTCACTCTACGTCTGCGTGTTGGTGGTTTAATGTCCAATAATGTAAGCGGGGTTCGAAATTTAGTCACAAGCTTCCGAATAGCTCCCTCAGTAGGCCGACCAAATTGCCCATAAATTGGAAGCAGTGCTCGATGCACGCTCTTAACCGAGCATGAATTTTGATAGTAAAATTCAATTATTTGCAAGCGTTGTTCGTTCGTAAGTCGATTCATGGTTAAATTATAGACCGAACTGAGCAAGTTTGACAATGACACAAGACACGATTCACGCGTCATCTGTCAAAAACAGTGTTGCCAAAAAGATACTAGCAAAAAAATCACCCATTATAATAATGAAGTTGTTTTTATTTTTTCTTCGAAAGCGAAGTGAAATAGGAAGAGTTACCAAGAGAAAAAAATATGTACCATTAGCTGCATGATCCAAAACAAATATAGATTTAAAAAAAGCCAGTAATTTCCATTTTTTTGTCAATACAATTCGTAAGATTACCCTCCGAGACCCCAATGGCATTCCTAATTATCTTTTAGACGGTGCTAACTTAACGTCTTACAGCATTAAGCAATACTGCCAAAATTCAACATAACCAGCTCAGGGATGTTTGAGATACCACCTTGATCAAAAAGTTCCCGGAATTTATTAAGAAAATAAACAATACAAGTTTATTGTTCAAAATCGATACTGTCCCCTTCAAAGTGCGATGCACTCATGCCAATGCTTGATCCAGTCCTCGAAACATTTTTTTAACTCGATGATAAGTATCTCTATCACGACCATCTTCGATTTTTCCATTATCCCCTCTCGGCTACTGAAACGGGCGCCTCTCAGTGGCTTTTTGATTCGATTTGAACAAAAGTCACAGGGGGCCAAATCAGGTGAATTGGGTGGTTAATTTAATTTAATTTAATGGTATTCGTGTTGTTTTTGGCCAAAAATTTACGGATAATTATGGCATTATGCGATGGTGCGGTATCATGGTGCAAGATCCACGAGTTGTATGCCCACAAATGCATGCGTTTTTGACGTGTTGATTCACGCAAACGTCTCAAAACACCCAAATAGTACTCCTTGTTGACAGTCTCACCTTCTGTCAAGAATTCACTATGCACAGGCCGTAGCAATCCATGAAAACCGTGAGCATTTTTCGACTGGAAACGACGCGGTTTCTTCGGCCTCGGTACATCCGGCGCGCGCCGTTCACTCTCCTGATGTCTTGACTGCTTTTCGTACTCATAAACCCCCGTGTCGTCTTCAGTAATGATGCGTCTGTTGGGCCAGAATCAGCCATGGAAATCATGTCTTTGGCGATATCAACACGGTCATTTGTTGCATGAAATTCAAGTCTTTTGGCACCAACTTGGCTGCAACACGACGTAGACCCAAATCGTTGACCAAAGTGATTTTAATGGATCCATAAGCAATGCTCAAGTCCTCTGCCATCTTTCTGATAGTTACGAGTGATGTCTTTTAAGTTTTGCATATGGAAATAAAACAACACCGTAGGTAGTTTTAAATGACTTTATTGTCTTTCGAAGTATTCTCCACGAAGATTAATACACATATGCATGTACTCGAACCAATTTTCGAAGCAGTTATTCCACTCCTTTGCTGGCAGATCCAAAACCGCATTTTTGAATGCGTCAACTGCTTCTTCTGGTGACTGGAACCTTTGACCACGCAGTCTGTTTTTAATTTTCGGGAAAGTAAAGAAATCGTTAGAAATTAGATCGGAACTATATGGAGGATGGCCCAATAATTCCACGTTTTCTTCCGTTAAATACTGCCTTGTGTTTTGGGCTGTGTGCGAGCTTGCATTGTCTTGGTGGAGGATGATTCTTCTTTCGGGGTTGATTTTTCGAAGCTCGGTGATGACTTTTGGTAAACACATGGTGGTATACCAATCCGCAGTAACAGTTTTTTGCTCATTAAGAGGAATTGTTGCAATATGACCCGCTTTTGACACAAATGTCGCGACCACCTTTTTCGAAACACTTCGAGAACGGATGACTTTTGTTGGCTTTTCTTCACCTTGGAACAGCCAAACAGCCGACTGTCGTTTATTTTCTGGTTCATAACAGTAAATCCACGATTCATCACCACTAACAATGCTGTACACATTTTTTGAGTTTCCGGAATTGAAACGATCAATCGTTTTTTGACACCAATTAACCCTGGCTGCTTTCTGCTCTTCAGTCAACAGGTGGGGTATCCAACGAGAAACTAATTTTCTTACTCCTAATTCTTCATGTAAAATTGTTTGAATTGAGGTCTTTGAGATCTTCAAGGACGCCTGAATAATAAGTTTGCGCACAGCATCGACGTTTTCCTGGGTGACTGCCGTTTTTGGTGCACCCACCCTGGGATCGTCGCTAAGACTCACCCGTCCACGTTTGAATTCTCCATACCAATGGGAAATTGTCGACTGATGTGGCGCTTCGTTGCCGAAAACAGACAGTAACTCAGCAAGGCATTCTTGTTGCGATAATTGTCTCTAAGTCGTAATAAATTATGGTGCGAAAATGTTCTCGGTTGAGTTCCATTGTTCTAATGAGTTGGTGACACTTAAAAATTCACTGTAGTGAGAACACTGCACGTATCGTTGTGAAACTTTGAATTTAAGTTTACTAAAGAGTAAGGTTAAGATTCAGTACTGACGTTCGATCCGCGCGGCATACTAAGTTTCTATATGCAAAACTTAAAAGACGTCCCTCGTAGTATGCGGTTGATGGTCAACATTTTCTTCATTTTGTCACCGTTTTCTTCCGTTTTCGATGTCGATGGCCTGCCGCTGCGCTCATCACCGGCGATGGACTGACGACCTTCTGTAACCCGTCGAAAACGGCTGTTTTCGTCAAAGCATCGTTGCCGAAGAATTTTCCTAGCATTTCCAAGGTTTGTGTACCATTGATGTTTTCAACAGAAAATTTAATGCAAACGGCAAAGGCACATGTACTCAACACGACGTAGCTTTGACAACTGATAATGAAATTACGTCAAAGTTCGGAGGGGATATCAGTGAAAGTTGGGCACCATAACAAAACAAACAGAATTGACAGCCGAGTGCTACGTGTGCCACACGGCGACCATTCTGGGAACTTTTTGATCAAGGTGGTATTAATAAAAAATCAGATTTTTTTGATATGTTATAGATACACCCTTATCTGCGAAACCAGATTTTTTTCGGACACATGTTTGTATGAACCTTTCTACTTAAACCTCACTCAGGAATGTACTTTTGAAATTACGACCTATCAGTAACACCCTTTATAAAAATGAAAGTATTGTGCCACTGCACTCATAATTAAAACAACTGAATTGTCAAGGTATAATTGTGTATTCATTTGCTTCAAGTTTTTATTGTGAGCATTTTCATATGCTTCGAGTCTCACTGTCTTTATTACGGATTTGAAGTAGCAGTGTTGCAGTCATGCGCCAAGTAAAAATGTTATATTAAATATTCGAAAATTGGAGAATTTTAGACAAAAGAGTGAACCTTCAACAATCAAGTTCTGTAATAAAGATACATTTTTGACTAATGTTTATAATATATGCATTCTGAAATATCTAAATGTAATAATTGTCTAGATTTTTTTATAGCGAAGCAGCCGTGTAGACAGACGCCTAAATATCAGGGCACCGCGGCTGCTATGAGGAGCTTAAAGTTACATTATTAATATGACTTTGGAACTGCCTAAGGTTAGTAGAAGTGATAAAAGCCTTCTCAGGTAGATTGGTCCACAATCTTGATACCTAGGGACAATGTAGCTGTGTTCAAATAAAAATTGTACGATTTCAATTACTATAATAACTTTTATTTTGACAATGACCTTAACTACGACCTTCAAGATCATTTCAAGACCAAGTGAATATTTATAAATTAAACCAACCCCTTTGACACATTGGAATTCAAATTATGAGCAAATTTTAATCCGAAAATCAGCTTGCTTTTTCTGTTTTTTCCATTTCAGTATCAAAATTAGATTTTTTTGAAAATGGTCACTTGACCTTCAAGGACATGGTCAAGGTCACATTTGGGATATCCCCACAAACCTCGCAGCTGTGTTGTCGAACATTTTTGCTAGAGCAAATTGTTTTCAATGTCTTGATTTGATCTTGAAATAGCCTTGAAGATTATGATCAAGGTCATTGCCAAGGAGATGTTCCGGCGTAAAATTTGCTCCTTTTCAATTCCGATGTAAAAAGGGGGGTCCGTTTGAAAATAGGCGCTTGACTTTGAAATGACCTTGAAGGTTGTAGTCAAGGTCACCATCATTTTGTTACGCGCTGTTCGAAATATTTAGGTGGGCAGATTAAAATGGGACACCGTGAATAAACACAAGTTGCTAATAAAATGTATATACCTGTTGCATACTGGTACTACTTCTTCTACTGTTACTCTTGATACCCGAGTCTTTCCTACTTTGGTTGGTAACATCGAGGGCTGCGATGCTAGATAGTCTACTTGGTACTTCGAGAGATCTCTTTGGTCTTTGGTAATTGATGTTCGACACTGTCGCACTTCTGCAGCGCTCCGTCGGTTCTATACATTCTAGATTTGGCGATCGCCCTAAAATAAATTAACAAACTTTTTTAAATTTTCCAGCTAGACAAGGCACTGTATGGAATTTGCAAAATGTGAGGACCGCATTTTATGAACAGATATCAAGTAAGAAGGGGTCAAAAGAGTAATCCGAATCTAACCGGACTTTTTGGTCCATTTTGTTTAATCCCCTCTCCTTCCGGCTTAAGTTTTTTGCGGTTAGACTATTTTTTTTTCTGATTTCTCGGATGCTTCTGAACAAGAGAGGTCGTCAATAATATTTGTCTAAAGCGAGTCGTTTACGAGCTATAAGCCATTTAATGTCTGAAAAATCCTACAAGGGGTTATTTTCAATGATTATTAACTCGGTCAAAAATCGTTATTTTTGAGGTTGCCAGGTATCTAAATTAAAGCTAAAATCTTTCCCTATAAGGCCCCGAACAGTATTTCAAGATTGATTTGTTTTAAAGCGATTTTTAATCTAGTCTTTCTCCTCTTGCTCTCATCTTTTCGAATACTAGAACACCAAAGCTTAAAGTCTCGCAGACCACCCTAACAATCAACATGACTGATCAATATACCATCTGGTTTTTCATGCATTCTTGTCTCAAGACCTTACCTACCTCGCCTCGATCTACTGCTCCCTGACCTTTGTAGATATGGTAGGTCATCTAGATGAGCAGGTCTTCCATATTGCGATCTGTAACTACCTCCCCTCATGAAATCTGCATTCGGCGAATATTCAAATTGCCCGATATCGCTCCGGGATTGGCTGATGTACGACTTAATATCGATCGTCTCTTTAATCACGTCTTCTGGGTCCGTAGTGTTTATCACGCTCAGCGGCGATGTTTCTTTTTTGCCGTTAGCCTCGATTATAGCAGGAACCTGAAAGTGGAAATATTCAGATTACAGCTACTACGTTTACGAAAACTTTGAGAAATACTTCTACATCATGATAACGATGCATCCTTAAGAGACCAAGCTGACAGTCAAAAAACGATCCTGTTTTAAGAAAAAAATGTAACAGGCGGTTTTACAGTTTTATTGAGGGTATACGAGTATGTCAAGGATCCTCATCGAGATATACAAAAAATTTTGCTATATTTTTTTATTAAACGTCAAACTGCATCGAAAATTGGCCAAGTGGAAACAAGATTCTGTGAAGAAAACATAAATCAGATAATATGCCCATAGGTAATATTTTGAAATGTTCCATTACCAAGCTATAATCGTAATCATGGAGAATTATTAGTGCCTGACTTTATTGGACGTTCAATAACTCCCTCCTATGCTTTACAGTGTCGCAAAAATTGAATAGTCATTCACTATGAAAAAGAAAGACTGTTTTCAGTAAAACGTTACAGATTCTAGAAAACGAAAACAATAATGGAACACTTGCGCCTGAAAACATACAGGGTGTAAATGTTATGGTAGTCATTATTGAAATGGGTAATGGGGGGGGGGTCAAAACAAGTCAAAAAGTTCATATGACCCATGGTCCAAAAGTCAATAGATTTTTGTTTATATGGCTTTATAGTTTACAACTTTAAGTGCTTTATATCGATTACAATCACCACAATCTTACTAATTTTTATAATCTAATCAAAAACATTTTTAAATTTTGTAATTAGCGAATAAATGACATTAAGTTTTTCTAAGTTAAGCCAAAATTTGTAGTCAGTAAGTTTCATTAAATTAAATATTTAAAACACACATGACAACAGCGCATCGGTATTTCATCACTCTTATCGAACCGGCAATCGATCGCACACTGTAACAGTGGTTAGTTATAGATAAATTACTTTATCGTTTTGTCGATCAGAGCATCGGGCGTGTTGTTTTGTTTTTGTTCGCGTACGTCGTCGAGTTTATTTACTATTTTCTCGAATCAAGAGTTCGCCGACATGTTGTTAGTTTACAGGCAGACAGACAGATTTTGCCAACGGGTACACCCAGACTGAAGGACATTTGTGAAAGTGTACCAAAGACTTCGAAATACAGGAAGTGTTCAGCCCACTAATATTCGCGCTCGTGAAAGACGGGTTACTGTAGAGCAGGAGGAACAAATTTTAAATATCGTGGAAATCAATGCAGATATCAGCACTCGGGAATTAGGCCGCCGCGTAGGACTATCGCATCCCATAGTTCATAGAATCCAACGGGAAAATTTGCTTTATCCCTACCATGTACAACGAGTGCAGGCATTGTTACCAGAAGACTAACCTCGCAGACTAACATTCTGTCAGAGGTTTTTGCACAAAAACATTGAAGTGGGCCCAAGAAAATCCTCATACCCTTCGTAAAGGTCACTTCCAACAACGTTTTAAAATAAATATTTGGGCGGGTATTCTTGACGATCAGGCAATTGGCCCTTTCGAGTTACCCCCAAAGTTGTCAGAAGAAGGATACCTTAGCTTTCTAGCCAATAACCTACCAGAACTTTTGAAACAGACCTTAGACAACATGCCATTACAACGGAGACAGAATTTGTGGTTTCTTCATGACGGGGCACCACCACACATTTTTAGAGGCGTCATTCAGTATTTGAATGAACATTATCCAAATCGCTGGATCGGTCGAAATGCTCCTGATCCTTGAAAATGGCCAGCAAGATCTCCTGATCTCAATCCGATGGATTTCTGGTATTGCGGAGAACTTAAAGTGGTAGTTTATGGGGCTGGTCCAATAACAACTGAAGCACAACTTCGCGAAAAAATTGTTAAAGCAGCTGAAATAATAAATGGACAACTTCGAGGACCCAGAATAAGAAGAAACTGGGTTTGTCGTAATGAAGCTTGTGTGAAAAGTGGAGGACGACATTGAACACCTTCTTTAAATACAAAAAGAAGTGCAGTGTGGGTTTTAAAAAGAAAAACAATGTATAAAAATTGTGTTTCCTATTTATAAGTGGATTTTTTTAATACGTTCACTAAACTTTCACACACCAGGTGAAGCGCTGAGACAGTTAGTGGTAAGTGCTTTTTTTAAATTGTTTGCATTTTACGAGTACATTATCAAATAATGAAATACTATCTAAGAGCCAAAAATAACAAACACCATCTTTATTTACACTGCGTTCCGTCGTAATTTGCGTCTGGCATTGCGGCGTTGTCAGATTTTATTTTACTTTAAAGTCGCTTTTCTCTAAACAAAATGCCGTTTTGACCCCCATGTCATATGAAACTTTTTGCTTCTTTTAACCCCATCTATAACCCATTTAAATAATAACTATCATAACGTTTACACCCTGTATTTCAAAATCTTTATGTAAATACTTCGGCACACAGACAAATATGGCATCTTACTTGTTGATAACCACCTTCACCTGGAGGCGGTGACAAAGTGAAGACATCTACATCCATCTCTTGTCTTGGATCTGATGTCTTCCTGATGAATTTTAGTATTTTCCAATTTTTCAGTTTGACAGTATATTTCCCGGAGCTAGCCGTACTTGTAGGGGTTTTAACGTCTTCGATACCTGTGAGATCCGCTTTTGTACACGTACCTTGAACAAAAATCAAATAAGACATACAGGATTTCCTGAAAAATACGTATTATGAACGATTTTTAAAATATACTGGATACTTCAAATTCGACTCTTACCATTGGCAACTCGGAAGCGGTAAGAGAAGTCGGTAAAACGGGGGCAAAGTTGCACATTTGGGTAACCAGGAAAATAGACATTCAAAGTATTCAGAGTATTTCCGGAGATGTATGACAAAAAATGAAATCTCCCAAAATAGTTTATATTTTTTCCTAACTTTATTTTGAGGTAGGATTCCAAAGATGCACATTAACATTCCCACTTTTTCTTCTCTATAAGGTATAATAGAAATTTGATTCTGATTTGTTAATTCTTGTCCTCAATCATCAACTTTATTTTTTCTTATGGACGCCGTATTGGATTTTTTGCTTTGTTTGTTTAAGATTTAGTTAGCATGATTGCTACAATTACATTCTTCTAAAAAACTAAACAATTACATAACATACAGATATTTAGAAAAAAAAACAAAATTTGCATCTCTAAGAATTTTTATTGTCCATGAAATATTCCTTTAATTTTCTTTCAAATATCTTTAAATTACAAGTAGACTTTATATCATTATTTAGTTTATTAAATTCAAGTAATCCTTTCTGAAATATTGATTTGCTAGTTTTGTTACTATTGCAATTTTGTAAATGAAAATCTATATTTCCTCTTGTATAATAATTGTGGTAATGATTATTCAGTTCTATGAAGTGTTCTAAATGTTCTGGCAAAAGATGATTTTTTATTTTAAATATAAAAATAAGAACCAAATATGATATGAAATTTTTTATATTCAACCACTGCAATTCATGTAACATAGATTTTATTTTAGTGTACTAAACATTATTCTCATGGCTTTATTTTGCAAGACTTGTAATTTTGACAATACAGCTTCATTGGCAGTGAACAAGATAGTTGAACAACATAGTAAATGCGGTAGAATAATTGTATTATAAACTATTTTCTTGGAATAGGTACCAAGACTATGAGAAGCCCTATTTTGAGGTGGGATTCCAAAGATGCCGCATTCAAATTGCCAATGTTTCTTCTCTACAAGTTATAATAGAAATTTGAATGTGATTTGTCGATTTTTGTCCTCAATCATCAACTTTATTGTTTCTTATGGACGCCATATTAGATTTTTTGCTTTGTTTGTTTGTTGATTTATTTAGCATGATTGCTACAATTGCATTCTTCTAAAAAACTAAACAATTACATAACATACAGATATTTAGAGAAAAAAAAAACAAAATATGCATCTCTAAGAATTTTTATTATCCATTAAATATTCCTTTAATTTTCTTTTAAATATCTTTAAATTACAAGTAGACTTTATATCATTATTTAGTTTATTAAATTCAAGTAATCCTTTCTGAAATATTGATTTGGTAGTTATATTACTATTGCAATTTTGTAAATGAAAATCTATATTTCTTCTGAGAATACAGCTTCATTTGCAGTGAACAAGACAGTTGAACAATATAGTAAATGCGGTATAATAATTGTATTACAAACTATTTTCTTGGAATAGGTACCAAGACTATGAGAAGCCCTATAAAAATTTGATTTTTGGCAATTTTTGAAATAATGTATTCATAGTGACCCTCAAACTTTAGTTTACTATCAATATATAAATGTTTAATTGATTTAACATTTTCAATTATTTCTCCATTTATCCTAACTGTGATAGTATTTTCATTTAGGTATTTCCCTATTAACATACATTTTGGTTTAGAAGTATTCAATTTTAGTTTCTTTACATTTAACCAATTTACGATTTTTGCCAAGTCAGAATTTAGCATTTTTAAAGCAGTGTCTATATTTTCCTCTGATATGTATATTAATCTGCAAATATCTGAAGTTTACAATAATTTACAAATGTCATTAATGTATAAAATAAATAGTAGTGGACCTAGTTTACTACCTTGTGGTATACCAACAAAAATATTTTTTGATCTTGATAATGTAGATACAATTTTGCTTTTTTGACTTCTGTCAATTAAATAGTTTTGTAGAATTTTAAATTCAGGTACTTTAAATCCGTAGTGATGCAATATTGTACGTCATTTATCCCTGTCAATAGTCTCAAACGCCCTGTTGAACTTCAAAAACACTGTTAATGTATGTATCCTATTGTCCATACATCTCCTCCAGGCCTCTAAAACCATTTGTTTTGCCGTTTCAGTTGAGTGTTTCTTCCTGAATCCTGCTTGAAATTTGTTTCAAATGTTATTTTCCTCAATAAATTCAATGATCTGTTCGTAAATAATTTCTTCAAAAACTTTTTCAACATCTGGCAGAACATTTATTGGCCGCATATTGGTGTACAACTCAGAATTATTAACTTTAGAAACTTTAGTTATGGTAGAGCACTTCAGTTTTGTTGGAAATTCGCCATATTTTAAACAGTAATATCTCAGGATTAATATTCTTGCTAGAAAAATATCAAAACATTCATTAAACACACTTTTAGACAAAATCTCAGTCTTATTTTGATTTAGTTTTTGATATAATCTTCTTGAGACGATTAATGTTTATTGTTCTAAACTCACTGAATGATGCATTATAATCTGAGCTAATGGGACATTGGTTGGGATCCCGTCAATAATTGATTTTACAATGTCGCTGACACTTTCTATGAAATAGGTATTCATTCGATCTGCTATTATTTCTATATTTGTTGTTACCCCATCGTCGAATTTCATTTTAGATAATGTACTTTTCTAAAAGGAGAAACAATGTTTTTCAACGTTTTCCACATATGTTTGCTATTATTTTTACTCCGATCAATTTTGGCATTGTAATATTTTTTCTTTTCATCTCGTAGAACTGCTACAGATTGGTTTCTTGATCTTGTGTATTCTAGCCAATCATTTTCACTTCCAGTAATCATAAACTTTTATAATTGTGAGACTCAAGTTATTTCAAAAAAAGTTTTCGTAGTTGGCCCTGATAGTGACCGCTGACCACTTGTTTACTCGATAAGATCACCTATTAAAGTTTCACAATTGCGGGGATAGGCAAAAAACGGACCGTTATTATTATTATTTTTTATTTATTTCACGTGGGATCTCCAAGGCCCGATTTTACTAACAGGAGATCAAAATTCTCGATCCGGAGCATAACGGATCAATGAAAAGGAATCTTTCTACAAAAGGATCTAATAAACATAGTCGATTTCTTTCTAAAATATACTTCAAAGTATCGAAAAAATATACGATTTGTGTAAGACAAGCCTTAGAGGCAATATGAAATCGGGACAATGTTGCGCAAAGGCACTGCTACTTCTCTTCTACAAGGATGACAGAATTTCAATTCAATATATATTATTATTTTCGCATAAAAATCTTAATCCATATCTCGAGAGAGAGTAATGACTCTGGGTGTTTTCACTCTGCATGAATATCTGTATGTTTTCTTGATATATGAAACCTTACCATCATCATTTTCGACGTCTAATATACTAGGCAAACTGCTGGCCTTCACCTTGGGAGGGTCGGGCGACAGCAAATGCCTCTGGAACTGCCTGGTACTACTCGATTCGTCGCAGGAAAGAACGCGCGGCCTCGCTGGAGATGGCGGTGGTGGTGACACGAACAGATGCAAGGAGTTCGCGTACTTGTGCTTGCCTTCCGCCCGAAAGGAACCGCCCGACGGTGCTGTTGATGGCGTCGATTTTCGGCCAAGAATGAAATAGGTTTTGAAGCCTGTAATTATATAATAAAAAAATGTCTATAAGATTGACTCTACAGGGTGACAGGTAAATAGGTGTAAAACATTTTAGGAGGTGATAGTACAGCCCCTTTGCTATCGAAATTAGTATATAATACCATACCCTATATTCAAAGGTTGAAAAGTTATTGAATATTTAAGATTTTTTTAAAAACAATCCATATTTCAGAGTAAAAAAGTCGAGAGAGAAAAAAGTTGGCGATTAAACATTTGTTTTTTGTGGTTTTGGGTTATTATTTCAATAATTAACTATTATAAATTAAAAAAGATTCGAAAACAATACCAAACAACGTATTTATTTTCATTCAAAAATGTTTAACTAAGAAAAACAAATAACGTTTTACAGTAAGGAAGGTGTTTTACAAAAAAAAAAAAAAGTACAGACAATTTAAATAATATCCTTGTTTCATAAGGAATCTAAATTGGTATGATAAGTGCACAAAAACTGTGTGAAACTAAACATAATGTATTGTAATACAACAATAGGGAGTAAATTTACCAATGGCTTGTCTCCTATTTTTACAACTCTCTGATTGATAAGAAAGTGTTTTTGTGAAAATAATGTAACTGTAAGCTATGGGATAGTTATTATTTTAAACTACGGTTAAGTTACACGATTAGATTATTTACATAGTTGTAATTGTACTACAGAATAATAGAAACTGACTAAAAGTTACTACAATTGGTAAGTAAAATACAATAATGAAATGAAGGTAAAATTCATTGCAATTGTTGTTCGAACTGACGCCCGCCGTTTCTTATGCAAGCCCGTAGTCTTTTTCTCATGTTGGTACGCGTGATGCGGCCAGTTAGTTGTCCTCTGATAGTGTCAGCAGCAGCAATAATTCTTTCTTTCAACTGTGCAAGAGTGTATATGGGCTCAGCGTATACCAGTGACTTCATGTGCCCCCATAAATAATAGTCACACGGTGTTAAATCTTTCCACTGAGTTAAACCAAGCTGCTTTGCTATAACTCGTGTAGACGTCGTCGGGTCTCTGCCGTAGCATTCCAATTCCAGTATTGCCTCTAGCTCTTCGTCGTCAAACAACCAAGGTCTACCAGCATCATGACGTCTCTCATGAACCTGTCCACTTTCCTTGACGCGTTGGTACACAGAAGCAAATACTCGATGACTCGGTATTCGCCGATTCGGAAAACGGTTTTCGTATTCTCGCCTGGCTTCAACGGAATTTCCATCACTTAAACCATAATAAAACAGAATATCAGTGTATTCTTCGTTACGGTAACTCGCCATTATTAAAACCGATCAAAAAAGTAAAAGTACGTCCTCACGCGTTAAAGGTTGATATTCTACTAACTAACCTAAGCGTTAGTTCCCTTTCCTTGATCCGTCAGCTGTGTCAATTCATAACACACGCAGAGCTTGCTTCCGAGGAGCGACGACAGATTCCGAATACTTAAACTGGAATAACGGCACAGGGCACAAAAAATAACAAAAAGGGTCGAACCATGAAAGACTCGGTTTACCTGCTCAGTACAATGAAATGCGCTTAGCCGTCCTTTCTAGCAAAGTAATATTGTTTTGTTAAAAGGTTTACTTACTGATATGTTATTATACCATTTTAGAAACCTAATGAAATGAGGAAGTTTTTGCAGTTATTTGTACATTTTCTTTATTATGATTTTTTTGAAAAAAAAGACTTCTTAATGTGAAAGTTGAAAATAAAATTTTTCATTTAACATTTAAAAGAAAATAAATACGTTTTCAGTAGTGTTTTCATGTTTTTTAATTTATGGTAATTATTTATTTAAATAATAACCTGAAACCACCAAAAAAAGACTGTTTAATAACCAACTTTTTTTTATCTCAACTATTTTACTCTGTAAACTGGGTTGTTTTTTGAAAAAAATTAAATCTTCCATAACTTTTTAACCTTTGAATATAGGGTATGGTATTATATACTAATTTTGATAGCAAAGGAGCTGTACTATCACCTCCTAAAATGTTTTACACCTATTTACCTGTCACCCTGTATACTTCCCACGCCTCCGAAATAACTTCAATTTTCCATGTAGTGAAATGGCATCGAAAATACGAATTCATCCCTATTTAAACTTCGATTCCCATGCGTGACTATACTTATATTACTGTGTAATTAGTTTAAAATGGATGAGAGAATTGAAATATTATGATTCTCGGAACTATTTGTCTATGGTTTTTAAACAAATTCCAAAAAATGTCTTTTTTCGCTTCAAAAAAAGTCGTTTACCATAACACTACCCCCTAAAATACTCTGGGATTTTGTTAATGGCTGTTTAATTACAATATTGAATTTTCACATTTTTGTGGTGTTCGGGGTCGAAAATGACATTCTATTTTGCGCTTGTTTCAAATATTATATCACATACAGTAATGGACAAAAGTATATAGACAAATATGAATATTTACCTAAATACCTTTAGAAAACGAATTCATACTTCATTGCTCCATAAACAAATGCATTATTAGTAGCAAAACAAAATTTCTTGTTTTTACATTATCTGAAATGAACACAATACAAGTCTGAATATAAGCACTTTTTTATGAGTGACAAAAATATGTAGACAAATTCTTTTCAACAGTAGTTTAGTTCAGTTTCGTCTCAGAAGAGGATTAGTTTGTGTTCATCAAGTATTGTGGAATAAGTTGAGTGGTTTTAAGACCATGCCGCGTGGTCCAGAAATTTCTTTCGATGTGAAAACTAAGATCATTGAGTTATACAAAGATGGTCAACGTCAAGTCGACATTGCCAAAAATTTTAAGCTGAAGCGTAAAGCAGTTTGGGCAATATTAAACAAATATAAGCAAAAAGGTATCTTGGAAGCCTCTAAGAGAAGTGGTCGCCCTAGAAAACTAAATGCTAGATCAGTTAGATTAATAAATGTAATTTCGTTCAAAGAACCGTTTAAAACCCAAAGACAAATAAAAGCCGAAATCGAGACAAAAGGAATTGTCAGTGTTTCTACGAAAACTATAAGTAGAAGATTAAATGATTTGAAGTTATTTGCCCGAGTAAGAAGCCGCTAATCTCGATGAAAAACCGTAAGGAGCGATTACAATTTGCACGGTTGCATCTTGACTGGAGCATCTGTGACTGGAAGAGGGTATGTTTCAGTGACGAATCCAAGTTCAATACGTTTAGATCAGATGGTCTTCATTACGTTAGACGTCCTAGTGGACAAACATTGAACCCCTCGTACACTTTGTCCACTGTCAAACATGGAGGCGGGTCTGTTATGGTTTGGGGGTGCTTTTCGGGGTTTAGGATGGGACCTTTACATAGAATAGATGGCATTATGGATAAGTTTGTATACACAGACATACTAAAGCATGTCATATTACAATATATGGAAGACAATATGCCCTTAAGATCAATCTTCCAGCAATGACCCGAAGCACACTTCAAATCTCGCAAAGAAATTCTTTCCGGATGAAAAATTACCAGTTCTCAAATGGCCTTCACAGTTTCCCGATATAAACCCCATTGAAAATCTATGGGAATACTTAGATAAGCAAATACGAGATAAAATTTATTCAAACAATGATGAACTTTTTGCCGCTTTGGAGCAAAAGTGGAGACAGATTGATGAATCTTATATCAAGAAACTTCTACAATCTATGCCGAGACGATGCCAGGCCGTGATTGATAAAAATGGTTATGCTACAAAATATTAAGAGAAACATGGTTGGTTTTCTATAATTCAATGAACTTTACTTCTTTTTTCTATAATTGTTTTGCTTTGTCTATATATTTTTGTCCTTCATAGTTCCAGTTTTTTTTAATTAATTTTTATTGAAGGGAGTCTAGTGGATTTATTTATGTATAAGTGAGTATTATGCTATAACGAATTATGTATACAGGTTGATGTATTAATAAAACAAGTTAAAAAGAAATTAATTTGTCTATATAATTTTGTTCATTACTGTATATCTCAAAAACTACCAACTTGGAGAGAACATGTTCAGAATGTCCCAAAAATGTTTGAAATTTGTCCAGAAGGACATTTTTTGATGAAATTTTGAGCCTGCCAACATGCAAATTTGTTAAAAAAGTGCATTTTGAATAAGGCTATGCAACAAAAGACAACATGCATTAGAATGTTTATATGAGATGTGAATATACTTCCTGGACTAAATACATTATTCTTAAAGCTAGAAAATAAAGACAAGGAACATTTTTGGTGCAATTTCCTCCACTTTCGCCACGAAAAACTAATTTTAAAAACCTTTTTCAAAGTACCTCAGAAGCTAGTTGGCTGATTTTAGTGAAACTCAAGTCAGTTACGAGAACATGTCAAAGAAAATAACCTTTGTTACCTTAGAACGATTTTGTTTTTGTACCAAGTATTAATTTATTCTTGTCAAAAATAATTACATTACCCATGACGGTTTCTCCCTCCTGCAATTGATACATATCCTGCAGAAAATTCACAGTTTTCTCCGAAACATGCACCGTACCAGGAGTGCCCGTTGATTCCATCTTGTTGGCTAACGTCACGTCATTGCTCCACACGTCAAACTTAAACCTCCTGCGAAGAAAAGAATACAGATTAGACGTGTTTTCAGTATAGATCGACCGATATAGGTTGATTGGCCTCCTTTCGTTTTTATGACAAAAAAAAGACGCAGCATCTAGTGAAAACAGTGACAAGCTATAGTTCTGCAATACAAAAATAGATTTCCAAAAATCTGATCTGCCGGGGCCATGAAAATGTACTACTTGAACTGTACAGAAATTCAAACATTTCTACAGCAAATTCTTTCACACAGCTTCATTCAGCAGGGCCACCACTGTGCCCGCTAGATGCCACCGATTCTGGTGCAGTAGCAGGTATGGTCTTCACCATTGAATAAACTAGTGAAATAGCTTTCGTTTGTTTGACCATAGACGGCTATCATGGGCAGCTGTTTAGTGTTATGTGGCAACTCTTCAGTATGGTGTACGCTTGGTCTCGGTGGACGGCGATCGATATCTGATCAACTCTACTCTATTCAGAGTATAAGATCTATCGTTGCCAAATAGCACGAAAGCTATATTACATTTTCTACACTATGAGGATCCCAACCGTACTAGATTTTTACTACCTGCTATCTGGGAATATTTCGTCAAGGTTACTGACCGGGAGACGAAATCGATAGTGAAATTTTTGACCTATGCAAAACATATTCGTTCGGGGAAAACACCGAACACATCTTTTTAAATATTATCGCATAGACGAGTATAGTAAAACGCAAACATAAAACGATTCACGTAAAACTCAAGACTGAAAATGGCTTTCAAGCTTCACTTTATTGTACACGTAAAAAACAGTTGTCTTTGTTTTCAATTCAGTAATATTAAATTTTAGCTTTGGAATTTATATCTGTCGGCTTATATTGGCGAATGAGCAGTCAATTATTAACTTCTTTGGGAGTTCAAAAGTATTCAAAAGATAAAAAATAACCAAATTAAAGTAAGTCAAGTTCCTCCAACACACATTTTCTGTCATTCCCTTATCGTTGTTTAGAGATCGATCCGCAGGGGTAAGTCGCCACGCGCACTCGCTGTGAACGCCATCTTTGGAGGAGTGGTAGAACGACCTATGATATTAAATTTACAGCTTGAGCCATGAAAGCTATAAATGGGCTCCACTAGTGCCCTTTCTGAAGCGAATATTAAACCACATCAGCGCCAAACCATATAGCTCAAGTGTCATAATGTATAGGCAACACGCAAAGCTGGTACAAGTACATATGAAGTGAATTAAAGCTAATTCCAGTCGACATGTTTTTTTTTTTTTGGAAAACCTACATGATGTCATGTTTACCAAACAGGTTGTGCTAGTTACCAACAGAGTCAGTACTTTATGAGCGATATTCAACAACAACTGAGCTAAGCCATACTTCACCCAGCGCTAGCTCGTTGCAGCTGAGTACACCTGAACTTAATCAGTGATTAATTGGTCAATTGGCCTAAAAATGACGCACCTCAAAATTGGCAACATCGAACAGTTACAAAACTATAGTTCATACTGCTCGACTTCTTCGGTAAGCGCAGATATGTCGCACCGCACCATCACGGTCAATGTGTCAAGAAGTCTGAATATTAGGCGTTCAGAGATCAAACCAGAAATAGCTTTTCTATGCATATATGCGGCTGAACAGGGCATGTTGCTTTCCGTCTCTTATAACCATGACCAACCGCAGACATCGTTGTTTCGTGCTCATTAACAACTCATCAGTGCGGTACAGTTCTATCTACGAAACGGCGCCGTCTGCGGTTGGTTATGGTTACAGGAGACGGAAAACAAATATGAAACATGTCCTTTTCAAACAACCTCGTATTAAAATAAAGGCAGAGTCTGATAGGACATAAAAAACAAAAATAAAAATAACAACTAGAATAGTACATAACATAAACTAACATCCAGTATAAAAAAATGTAAACACCTAGTTCCAACAATGCCGCACAGCACAGTTCCTGTGTGGATGCCAACACGCATGTTGACGCCTTCGTTCCTTTCTTCATCAAACTGCTTGATCGCTTCAATCATTGCCAATCCCATTTCCACACTACATTGAGCATGGTCAGCCCTGTAACAGAAAAGTATTCGTTAATTTGCAAAAATGTTTAATCGTAATTTATTTAATTCTGCCGTGCTTAATGCAAATTTCGTATATTCAAATTTTATGCAAAACGAGATGCGCTTTACAGGATAAACTGAAAATACTTTATATTGACTAGAAATGCTTCAAAAGCATGTCTTTTAGTTATAAAGTTGATCTGTATATGGGCTTGAAGAAATTCGGAATGGCAAGGGATCTCAGTTCGCGTTTAATAGACCGATAAATGGCTGAAGATCCTGGCAGTAAAATAGATGTGGTCTACTTGCCATTGATTAAAACATAAAATGCTAGAGAAATGTTTTCGATATGCGAAGTGTCTTTTTCTGCTATCTGGGCTCTGCGCCCAGCGTACGGATCTGCTTGAATGTTCTGCTCCTACTGCGGAGATGATTCAACATGGGAAAGGACAACGTTGCCAGATGGACGGTTTAATTTTCCTATTGTGCATATTCATAACTAAGTTTAAAGAGGGTTTAACTTGTGCTGATCTTAATATTTTATGAACTAATGACGCCGCTGCGTATGAAGAGCAATCAACCTGTTTGAAGCCATTTGAAAAAAAAATACGTGGTTGCAAACTTCTCAGTGTGTTTGTGTACTGGCCAGCCGTTGCATTAGGCCACACTGATTTAACTATTTATGACAATTATCTCATATACATATGAAAATACGCTCTCATGTAGAATCTTCAGCTCTACAAGAAATCAGTCAAAAATTTTAGTTACTATCAGGTAACCAAATAAGTTCGTGCGGTTGCTGTATATCGCACATTGCCATGGATGTTGTTGATCGATAGCGATTGTTTGTTACCTGTTGTCACTTTAGTATAAACCCTTCTTTTCTCACACACATAAAAAGTTGCTGAAAATTGTTACATACCTAGTTTTAATAATTGAAAATGGCGACGAATAAAACAGTAATTCGAAGTTGTTTACTGTATGAGTACAAACTTGGTACAAAAGCTGCAGCGGCGGCGCGAAAAATATCTACCGCATTCGGGGATGATGCCGTTAGTGATCGAACAGCACAGAAGTTGTTCAAAAAATTATGTTCGGGAGATTTCTGAGCGATGAACCGTGCTCATGAACAACGAGGATCTTCCGACAGGTTGTGGACGCAAATTACAGGACAACGTGCCAAGAACTTGCAGAAATGTTCAGAGTAAGTCCTGCATATTCATCAGCTAGGAAAGACGTGGAAGTTAAGCAAATGGGTCCCACAACTGACAAATGATAACAAATTAAGTCGTCTTAGCATTTGTTCAGCAAACATTTCACGCAACGCTAATGAACCATTTCTTAATCGGTTATTAACTTGCGACGAAAAATAGATCTTGTATTCAAATTCTAAGCGTTCGTATCATTGGTTGTCGTCTACTGATTCGGTACCAAAAACGCCCAAGGCTTCCTTGCAGCCAAACAAGGTTTTGTTGTGTGTTTGGTGAACAGCAACTGTAATTGTCCATTATGAGTTTTTGGAAAGGGGTCAAGCAATCACTGCTAACTTGTATTGTGAGCAGTTTCAACGAGTACAAGCAGCACTAAACCAGAAACAGCCTTCTCTGATCAACCGGAAGAAAGTGATATTCTTGCGGAATAACTCCAAGCCTCATACCGCAAAAGTGACCCGAGAAAAAATGTCTGAACTCGGTTGGGAGACGTTACCACACCCGCCATATTCTCCCGACAATTCGCTCAGTGTTTATCACCATCTCTTGACAACTGAATGAGGCACCGACAGTTCACAACTCGAGATGGTGTAATAAATGCAGTCCGCCAATTTTTTGACTCCAAATCCATGGAGCTCTACAACACCGGCTTACAAAAATCGGTTCCACGTTGGCGAAAGGTGATAGAATGTGATGGTAATTAGTTCGATGAATAAATAGTGTCTTATTGTTTCTCAATAAAAATTTATATTTTTCTACTAAAAACCGCACGAACTTATTTGGTTACGTCTAAGGTGATTATCTAGGACATATATAACTTTTGTTTAAATATTCCTCCAAAAAAATCCGTGGGCTTAAAGTATTCGGGGTGTTTGTGTATTCACTAGACATTTGCATTTAAATATTCTACTGTATATTGAAAAAAGAATGACCCAAAACTAGCTCCTCAATAATAAATGCTTCTGTCTACCTCATAAAATACCGCTTCGGGCTGGATGGCTAAAACAACAAAAATCTTAAAGCAATTAGACTGAGTGTGGCGTGACACTTAAAATGTCAAGATCTGGGCAGCCGTTTATCGCGCCTTTTTGATGACAATGTGAAATGGATCTAGCAATGGCACATAAGCAACGTTTTAATATCATAATTTTCACGCATCTAAGATTGCGTTTGATGCGTTCTTTACGAACCAACCTGTATATTCATTGTGTAAATATAACAATAAGCAAACGTAACATTACTATGGAATGCCTAGACAGGTGTTGGCATTTCGAAATTTTCACGTAACATATAAATTATTCCAAGCAATATAGGTCACCGCGACACAGACACAGAAACAAGCACATAAAAATGCAGAATGAGAATTATAATAATAATTTTTTGGAACAATGATGTTACTGTTTTTTCTTGATATTTAAATGAGTATAGCTCAGGAAACGCGTGAAATCTTCGAAAATTCGCCTTTCTGTTCATATTCCCAACAAAAGGATGTGCTACATTAGACTCATAGAAATGGTTCCTTAGCTAGTAGTACAATGCCAATAATAAACTAAAGCTGTTGTCTTGACATAAACAAGTACCTCATCGCTAGGATGCATCCAGATCACATGTTTGTGAAGATTTTGTGGGTGTGCTCTCTCAGAATAGTTGTATCATGGCTCTGATGAGCACAATGCAGAGAGATTCTGCACCCTGAACATTGGCTTTAACAGCCCTTTTGCCAATGTATTCACAAGCGCTAAAGGTGATCTATTACTGCTCTACGATGTGAGTTTGCAAAAGAGTTCTTTGTAATACTCCTACTTGAATTCTATGACTTAACTGAGTGAATAAACTAAACATAATATATGACTGATCCAACTTTAGCGGTATACGCTTCAAGCGACTTTTTGCAGGTAGTTGCATAAAGCGGGGGTGTCTAACTGCATCTGTCAAAAATCGTTAACCAGATTTGGCGCTGTATAGTCGTTAAACGCACACAATCTTCAACATCTTTATAATCATTATATCCAATAAAAAATATCAAACTTTGGTTGGTCTTTACAAAAAAATTGCTAATTTTCCTGGACTAGTAATCAGCCACAATGCTGTAGAACTATAGACACGTACGTATGGATTTATTCATAAAAAGCATATATCAATAAAAAAAAGTCATAAGCTACAAAACGAGAATTTATAAATGCCATAGATTGAATATTTTTTATTTCGACGATTTATATTATCGTTGGGAGATTATCTGATATGCATATGACAAGCCGAATGATCTGGGGATTTCATAGTCAACAATTTGGTTTCTGCCAAAGTGAAATAATGATATCAATCTATTTTCTTGCACCTATATTGGAAAATTATTAAGTGCCAATGTATCCGTAATATTATTTCTGTATTTGGACAATGGTATGCTGTTTGGTATTTTACACTATATAGGATTTTCCGAATCTGCTAGCACGCTTATGTGCCACTATTTAACTAACAGAACACAATATGTAGAAACAGATAAAGTATGTCCTCCAAAGATGTCATCCCATCGGGTATTCCACAAGGCTCCATTTTAGGACCTCTGATTTTTAGTATTTATACCTGAAACCTTTGACATTATCTCCAAAGTTGTCAGGTACATTTGTATGCTGACGATACTCAGCTTTATTTTTCTTTCAATCCTAACGAGAAACGTGATGCATTGGCCATTATTAATCCAGATATTGAAAGATTAGTTGTATTTTCGGAAAATCGTGCTCTACAGATTAATGCAAGCAAATCACAACTCATGTTATTTGGCAGATTGAAAGACAATATTGAGCCTAGTTTTCACGTCAAAATAAAAAGTGAATATATATCTTGTTCTGCTACTGTGAGAAATTTGGGTGTAGAATTTGACTCATATCTAAGATTTAACCCTCATATTAATAAATGTATCCAGAAAGATTATGTTTCTCTAAAAGTTCTATATGCTCATCGATATGTCCTCCCTGTTAAACTTAAAATATTGCTTTGTGAAGTTCTGGTACTCAGCCATTTGTAACAGCGTTTATGGGATTTGTTTAGACAAGATTGACATGGATAGAACTGAACGTGTACAGAAGTCCTGCCTACGATTTATTTATGGTGTACGTAAGTTTGAAAGAGTTTCACATAAGTTGCTTGATGCAAACTGGTTGAATATGCGATGTCGATGTGAGTTGCATGCATGTAATCTTATTCACAAAATTATCTTTTTTAAGCAATCACCATATTTATTCACTAGAATAACTTTTACGCACCGATGTTCATAACTTAAATTTGCTGTTTCGGGGATACATATCACCTCCTCCTCATCAAACTTCTCTTTTTTGCAGATCTTTCTCGAACAACGAGGCTTTCTAAGGTAGATCTATGTATGTATATGTGTATATGTTACTGTAAAAGCAGGAACTGTGGTAAATCTTAAGATTTTCCGGGAAAACCTAAGATTTACTAACTCTCAATGGTAAACTGTTCTTTTATTTCGAACTTTTACCACCATTCACTAGGTAAATCTTAGGATTCACCTCAAGGGCACGGTAAATATTGAAAAAGACATTTTTTTACTATTAGAACTTAGTATATGCTAGGTTTTACCAGTGATGGATGGTACATATTAGTTTTGGGAATAAAAAAATGAGTAATTCTTAATCATTTATTTAAATTACATATGTATTTATGAACCTTACATATGTACGTATATTTATGTGTATCATATCTTCTGACAAACATAACGCTTACGTTGGCTAATTGAATCTCACTGAATCAGTATTTTTCTTATAATTTGGTATTTACGAACAAATTAAAAAAAAGACAATCGTCATTAATTATTAAGTATTTAGTAAGAAAAATATTTGTTACAACACGGAGTGCTATTGAACACGTTATGACATGTCTTTATCAACTTTTACCGTGTCATTATGGTAAATCCTAAGATTTACCAATTAAGTGGTGGTAAAAGTTCAAAATAAAAGAACGTTCGGACTTTTACCATTGAGAGTTGGTAAATCTTAGGTTTTACCAGAAAATCTTAGGATTTGCCACAGTTCGGGCTTTTGCAGTAACATATACAGGGTGTTTTAGTTTATTGTTGCATAACTGTAAGATTCGATAGAACTTTTAAAATTAATGCATAAAGTCTATATAAACATGGGTCGAAAAATGCGTGGCTTCCGAAATACAGGGTGTTTAAATTTACTTTCTAAAATAGTTTTTTTTTAAATATTTCGAACAATATTTGATGTATAATGGTGAAAATTCGTATACAAGGGTTTTTTGGTACGACAAAGCGAACCATGGGCATAGTTTTACTGTAGCCGCTAGAGGGCGCTCTCTACTGTACCTGTAGTGTATTATCAAATATTGTTCGAAATATTTAAAAAAAACTATTTTAGAAAGTAAATTTAAACACCCTGTATTTCGGAAGCCACACATTTTTCGACCCATGTTTATATAAACTTTATGCATTAATTTTAAAAGCTCTATCGAATCTTAAAGTTATGCAACAATAAACTGAAACACCCTGTATATGAATGTGTAGTAGGTAAAGAGCTGAACTTGGTATCATTTTTAAATGCCTTCAGCCCTTTTTTGTAACATATCTCATTTAAATGTGTTTTGCTACTATTTTTACCTAAATGTATGTTGCAAATAAACATTATTATAATAATAATAATAATTATTATGTACTACTTGGGTTGTTGCAAAGTTTTACTTGACTCCGTTCGTCATCCAATAATTTATGTAAGAAATGCCTAGGTCTCTATGAAGGACCACGATATAGATATACTAGAAAAAGACAAGGTCATTAAAGTGGAAACTAAAAACAAAACTCATATACTCTCGGTAAACAAACCTTACTCACCTTGCATCTGGACATCCACTAACGCAATAATAACAATCTCCCAGCGTCGAAATCTTCTCGCAATTATGTATTTTGCACAACAGGTCAAATCTTTGGAACAAATTATTCAAAATATCCACCAATTCTTCAGCGCTTTTCGTACTCGACATTTTCGTGAATCCCACAATGTCCGCAAACAGTATGCTGACGTCTTCCATGTGATCCATATTGAAAGGTCTAAATAAAGATCTTATGTCATTGGAGGAATCGTTCGAATGACGCCTGTTGAAGTTCTCGTCTTCTTTTCTCAACCAATCAGCCACGCTTTTAGGCATCAGTGAGTGTATCATGTTCTCTTTCAATCGTTGTTCAAGCTCTAGTTGTCTTCGAACTAGAAGGCTCTGTCCTACCTTCATGAAGGTATTTCTCATTCGTACGCTGTTCATCAGGCAAATGTGGAAACAAATGATGTGTACTGCCACGTGGCACAGCAGTCTCATAATATCGTTCATCAAAGAGTAATTGTGCTGCCTCTCCAAGAAGTACACGAGCAGCTCGAATGCAAGTGAATACAGAACGCCGAATATCAGACTGGCATACAGCCTGAGAGGTACGAGAGTGTAGAGTAGGAACAACATCTGGATACAAAGAGAAAAGTTCCCCACAGGCAAGGGGTTCACCACAAGTAAAAAGATGAGACTGAGCATGATGAGTAGCAGTGAAATGGCGACAGTGATCGAGTGCTGATGTTTGTGGTAGAGCCTGGTGTAGGTGAAGGAGAGAGATAAGGCCAGGCTGACTAAGAGGACTAGTAGAAGGCTGCAGACCATCAGTCGGGAGTGTATGTCGCCCAGGAAACCGACCACCAGGAAATAGACCAGCCAGATCGTCGAGACAGCGGAGAGGTACAGTAGCGCGTATCTGAAACAAAACAAACACTCGGTTTACATTATTTAATAATAATATTTATTACCCTTATTAAACAGTATATAAAAGTTTACAAACAAAAAGCCTTAAGACAATAAAGGGCTACATCAGCTTGCCCCTTAAAGAAGCAGCTGCTAGAGCCAAAAAAAATAACAAACCAATTTAAACAATTCTATAATAAGGCAAATGACTATTAAAACATTGATAATTAATGAGGTTTTAATATTAAGAAATATAGCGAAGTATAGTTTGTTTGTTTCAGATTTATTTAGCATTAATGCTACAATATCCATAATATCCATATTACACAGTATATCACAAAATATATTATGTCTTCAAGACTACATATTTTTATATACAGAATTTCAATACTATGAATTCTGGTTTTCCATGAGATATTTCCCTTTGAACATTTTCAAACTGACACACATCTTGATATCATTACTTAATTTATTAAATTCGTACAATCCCTTTTGAAATACTGACTCGCTCGTTATACTGCTGCTGCAGTTTTGTAAATGAAAGTCTATACTTCCTCTAGTAGAATAATTGTGGCACTCATTGTTCAATACAATAAAATTTTCTAAGTGATTTGGTAGAAGATGATTTTTCAACTTGAATATGAAAATGAAAACCAAATAGGCTATGAAATTTTTGATATTTAACCATTGTAGTTCTTTCAGCATCAAATTTATTCTAGTATATTTATTTTTATTTTGTAATATTTGTAATTTTGAAAATACAGTTATATTTGCAGTGAACCAAAAGGTCGAACAATATATCAAATGAGGAAGAATGATAGAGTTGTACACAATTTTTTTAGAATAAACGCTTAGGCTATGCGAAATTCTATAAAAGTAATTTATTTTCTTGGATATTTTTGAAATAATATATTCATAGTGCCCTTCAAATTTCAATTGACTGTCTACGTATATGCCCAAATATTTAAATGTTTCAAATAACACAATTTTTTCATGATTAATTAAGATTTATCGTATTTTGATGTAAAGATTTTCCTATTAACATATATTTTGTTTTGTTTGTGCTTAGTTTAAGTTTATTTACATTTAACCAATTTATTACGTTTTTCATATCATTATTTAACAGCTCTATTGCAGTTTCAATGTCTTTATTTGATATATATATATATATATATATATATATATATATATATATATTTATATGTATATACATATATATACAGGGTGACTTTGAAGTTGAGTCATTAATTTTCAGATAATGATTGTAGAAGGAAGATATGTGTTTAAAAATAAAAAAAAATAAAAAAAAATGTTACCTTGTTTTATAAAGTATCCTCCCGACAAGTATTTCAGTGCGGACCTGTATTTGATCGTGCGGTCTTGGAGCACCGGCATGCCCTCCCCTGTGAGGTCTTAAGTCACCTGATTCACGAGCCCTTTGTACTACATTAACAAAGGAACGAGGGGTTGGTTGCACTCGATTGGGAAACCGATCCGCATAAATCCGTGATGCCGCGGCAGCATTTTGTAAAGACTCCCCCCCGTAAATAAGAATCATGTCCACAAGTTCAGCATTTTCGTAAACATGTGCCATTTTTTATTTCGTTTGGGCTACGCAACAAACACCACTATTCACTCACGCGTTACCGACTGACACATTGACTGAATACAACTGAATAAAATTGTAGTAAAAACATCGTGATAAGCGTTTCAAATTCTTTCGCTTTTTTGTTTCCGATGCGATGAACCGATAAGGCGGATTATATCCGTTGATACCAAACACGAGCACATAATATGATTATTGAGACAGGGCGGTACTCAAACTTCTAAAGGGCTATAACTTTGTTACTTTAATTTTACCAGAAAAATGTTAAAGGAAAAAAACATTTCTTTTGATCAGATCTACTAACTGTTAAAATAAATGACTCAACTTCGAATTCACCCTGTATATACAGGGTGTCCGCAAAGTTGGGGTTTTCCTTTTCAGAAACAACTACCCTTGAAATAACAAAGGTAATGTGTAGTGCAACGAGGGCGACCAAGTAAAAAAAAATAAAGAAAAAAGTACTCACTCTCCAGTTGACGAGAAGGGCTAAGTACGTCTCTGCCCGAAATCATACCGCTCCAACAGAAAATGAAATCAGCTGATGCGCTACCGAGCAGACGCAGGCAAACAAGGAAGGCAAAATGTTGCGTAAAAAGTCTAGGTATAGGTTCACCATGCCAGCCCAAACATTCACCGAAAATGTTTGTTGAAAATGTGCCCGACGGACAGCGTGCGGATTTTCTACTGACCAAACATGAGTGTTGCGAAAGTTATTCACCCTATTACGCGTGAACGTAGATTCGTCTGTCACCAATATGCACTTCAAAAAGTCCGGATTATTGTCATGTTGATGCAACAACCACTGACAAAACCGCACTTTTGCTGGAAAATCGTCAGGTTGAAGGGCTTGTACACGTTGGACGTGAAACGGATACAGCCCCTCTTCACGCAGCGCTTGCCACACTTTAGTTTTTGATACTTGCACTTCTCTAGCCACGTCTCTAGTGGTTGTTGAGGGATTCAGGTCTACGCGATTATCTCTACACGCGTGACCGTAACCGTCGGTTGAAGGTTGCATACTGACCTGACACACTGACTCCGACCCAGTTCTGTCGTCGGGTTGAGCTAGTGTCCAAGTACCACTGGGGGATGTCGCGGCTACAGGACGGTATTCAGATATTTTTGATGTTGCAGAGCCCTTTATCTCGGTTCCCTTAAGACATTGGTGTATATGGTACTAAGAAAAATTGCTTATGTTTTCAAGATCTACACGTCGTGTAAAGGAAAACCCCAACGTTGCGGACACCCTGTATTAATGTATCATCATCATCACTTTTCAAAAGAACAAACAAGTTTGCAAACAATGTGTTCTGAAGTGTTATCAGCAACAGACATTTGATAATTTCTAATTAAAAGTAATGAACTCGACTATATTTTCGACAATTTCAGCTCAGGGTCATTTAAATTGACCAAAAATTATTTGAAATCGTTAATGGATTTAGCCACGCCAGTTAGTTGTAAGTGCAGATGTCAAGCATCTTTGTTTTTAGATGTGAAAAGTATTTTAAAATCCGGATGTTCGAGATATAAAAGAAAAGTCCAGAATTGGGAAGTGTAAAATGATGAAAATTGTAAAAAACTGTTTACCAATACAAAATACTTTTATTAACACCTACCCATATAAAGGATTTAAAAAACACGTATTTTACACAAAATTATACAGATGCCATATACAGGGTGTTTCAGTTTATTCTTGCATAACTTTAAGATTCGATAGAACTTTTAAAATTAATGCATAAAGTCTATATAAACATGGGTCGAAAAATGCGTGGCTTCCGAAATACAGGGTGTTTAAATTTACTTTCTAAAATAGTTTTTTTTAAATATTTCCAACAATATTTGATGTATAACAGTGAAAATTGGTATACAAGGGTTTTTTGGTACGACAAAACAAACCATGGGCATAGTTTTACTGTAGCCGCTAGAGGGCGCTCTCTACTGTACCTGTAGTGTATTATAATGACCGAACATTTTTTCTTAGTGCAATTTTTTGCTTTTTGAATAAAAAAACTGATTCTTCGCAATTTTCAACATAAAAAAGCTCTCTTGATAATTTTCGTTTTTGAGATATTTCGATTTTTAAGGTTCGATGCATTTTTAATTATTTATGATAAAATAAGGTTAAAAAGTTAGTATCTCGATAATTTTTAGAAGTAGGCTGTGCCTGCAAATATTTTTGAAATTGAAAGCAGAATAAGATTAAACGTCAATTAGTTGACAGTTAGTTTTGTTGTCTGTTGAAACCTGAAACGTTTTTTTGCAATTGTGAATGCACGAAGTTTAGTTTCTTTTACCTGTTTTTTTTTTGTAAGTTTTATAAAAATGCCATTTTTATTCTCCAATCAAGAGTTAGCGGATATTCATTTTGTGTATGGCTTTGTAAATGGAAACGCAGCAGAAGCAGCCAGAGAATACGCACGAAGATTTCCAAACAGACGACATCCAACTCGCTCAGTATTTGTAAGAGTGCATCGCCAAATAATTGAAAATGGTTTTGGAAATCTCCAAAGGGATCAAAACATAAATGTTCGTCACCGCAGATTTACCCGTATGATTCTGCGTGAGTTTGATAGAGATCCGACCACAAGTGTTAGGAGAGTTTCTGGTGCCTTGGGAATTTCAGCAAGCCATGTTCACCGTGTTCATAGAAATGACCATAGACGTCCTTAACATTTGCAACCTGTGCAAGGACTACAGCCAGGGGACGGAGAACGAAGAATCACATTTTGTCAGTGGATTCTTGAGAGAACTGATAATAATAGGGAGTTTTTAAGTAACGCTTTATGGACCGATGAATCATGCTTCACTAGACGTGGAGTGGTAAATTTTCTAAATCTACATATTTGGTCGCATGAAAATCCGCATGCAGTTCGGGAAAGAAATTTTCAGCATGAATTTAGTGTGAACATGTGGATTGGTATCTACCGTAATCGACTATTTGGACCCTTCCTTTTGCCTGCAAGGTTAAATGCCGCGACCTTCTTGGAATTTTTAAAGGCTGAACATGCAAATATGTGGGATGATGTTATGTCAGATTTAAGAAGATTGGCCTGGTTCCAGCTTGATGGTTGTCCAGCTCATTATTCGAGAATAGTTAGAAACTGGCTGGACGAAAATTATCCAGAAAGATGGATCGGCCGTGGAGGACCAGTCGCCTGGCCTCCACGATCCCCTGACCTAAATCCATTAGATTTCTTTGTGTGCGGATTTCTAAAAAAAAAAGTGTACCAGACTCCCGTAACCACAAGAGATATGCTAATAGACAGAATCAGGAATGCATGTGATGAAATAAGGCCTTATTTGAATAATGCTATACCACGTTTGATCATTCGTAGATGTGAATTGTGTATTGAACAATTGGGTTTACTTTAGATTTTGTATGTTTGTCCTAACTATCCAATAGCATTTCAGTTGTAAATAATTAATTTAATTTGTTAAAAATAATATTGGAAAATTAAACAAAGTAATATTCTGTTTTTTTTTGTGTTTATTTGGAGTTAGGAATTATTGCTGTGTTTAAAAACACAATCTAAACGATCATCTTAATTACTTGTAATGCCCAAATCGAAAATGTAAAAAAAATATTATTTTCTCATAAATAATTAAAAATGTGGCTACAGTAAAACTATGTCCATGGTTCGTTTTGTCGTACCAAAAAACCCTTGTGTACCAATTTTCACTGTTATACATCAAATATTGTTCGAAATGTTTTAAAAAAACTATTTTAGAAAGTAAATTTAAACACCCTGTATTTCGGAAGCCACGCATTTTTCGACCCATGTTTATATAGACTTTATGCATTAATTTTAAAAGTTCTATCGAATCTTAAAGTTATGCAACAATAAACTGTGAAACACCCTGTACATATACTGTATCTTGTTCTCCATTCTTTTTCTGTATAAAAAGTTAATATAACAAATCAATATATGTCACTTATGCACAAAGGTATTATTTGAAACCAATTTACTCCAACAAAAAGGTAAGTCCCTTTACAGTGGATCCGCGGTAATCCGGTCTCTGTCTAATCCGGCGCTTACTGTAATCCTATCACTGTTGATTGTACATAAAAAGTTCGGCAAATCTTCGCTAATATAATGCATGATTTCACAGGTTGTAACTTGTACAGGGTGGCCAACTAAGAATGCGATGCACTGTACCTATCCTGTGGTAAAAAAAGTTCTTACTAAAACGGTCGAGAGAAAAATCTGGAAAATATTTTCTAGTTTCTGAAATTGCCGCTAGGAGGCGTAACTGCAATCTTTAATCTAAAAAAGTGATGTTTCGGTGAATTCGGCGATATTAATCTAACAAAAAAATACCTGATATTCAAAGTCGAGGATAATGTCATCATTTTTGTTTTGACAGTTTTTGCTGTATCTCTAAAAATAACGTGGTGGGGGTATTCCATAAAAAACACCCTGTATCTTCGAAATGGCTGAGCATTCTGAAGACATTCAAACTAAACCGGAATTTGTTAAGCACAAAGATTGCTCAAAGTCACGCAAAACTATTGACAACTATTGACAATTTGAGAATTATTTATGTTTTGATTGTATTCCATGGCCTGCTTCTATTATTTGTCTTTTTCGTATATACCCATTTAAACAAAAAATATGCCTTTTGTTATTAGCATTACTTATTTACCTTTTAGCGATATTTTGTAATATTTCCAACAAGGGTGATTTTATTCTGATGAATAAAAAAGAATTCCTGAAAAATTAGTTTGAAAAAATAAAAATTTAATGGATTTCCGTATAAAATTTTAGGTTAGGAACAAGATATCGAAATGCGGTTTTCGCGAGCTTGTTTAGACATCATTTAGCTACTTTTTCATAAAAAAAATCATACCAATGCATTTAATTTTTTTGAGAAAATTAAGCATTTGTTGGAATGTTGAAAATAGCCCTCTAGCGGCCACATGTGAAAATAACAAAACTTCAAATAACACTGTGGATTCCTCCTTTCACCACGTCGCCTTCTAACCCTGGCATGACCATCGTGCATGTCTAAACAAAATCGAGACTCGTCACTAAAGACAATACTGTTCCATTCCTGATCCCAGAGTGACCGTTGTCTGCACCACTCAAGGCGATTACGTCGGTGTAAGGGTTAGAAGGCGACGTGGTGAAAGGAGGAATCCATAGTTCTTTGTTGAAAGACATGTTCATCACACTGTTGGAGTTATGGTTTGGGGTGCTATAGCTTATGGTTACAGGTCACCTTTAATCTTCATCAGAGGTAACATGAACGCGCAGCGTTATATCCACGAAGTTCTAGAACCCCATCTTTTACCCTATCTTAACACCCTGACAGATCCAACTTTCCAACAAGATAATGCCCGACCACATGTTGCAAGAGTCACAATAGACTTCTTTCAACATAATGATGTCACATTGTTACCATGGCCACCAAGATCTCCCGACTTATCCCCAATTGAGCACGTGTGGGATATGATGGGTAGGAGATTGCTCAATTTGCAACGTCCTCCTCAGACTCTAGAAGCACTTCGAGAGGAGTTGGTGGTTGCCTGGAATGAGATACCACAGGAGGACATTGACCACCTGATCAGAAGCATGCCTAGGCGCGTTGGAGAATGCGTAGCACATCAGGGTGCATCCACACATTATTAAAGGTCAAAGGGCTTTAAAGCAGTGCAATCATTTTGAAATTTTTATCATTTACTTATTATGCTTCATTAAGTACTTATACAAAATTTTATTAAAATAAAACCATTTAAACTGGGTGTTCGGATTTATATGTCACTTAGTATATATTTATTCGAACATAATTATTTCCTAACGTAAAAAACTTGGTTATTATATTTTGTAAGTCCTATGGCACTGATGATGTTATTTTTGTAATAAAACATTGGCTCGCCATTGTGATGTTCAATTTACTAAATTCCACATATACAGGGTGGCCCATCCATGTGTGTTCGGAATATTACTCATAAACAAATACATTTTGGGAAAATCTATTTATGGCATGTTATACATGACATTTGAGGGCACATTTATAATATATTGGCCATTATACAGGGTGTCCCAATTACGACCATAGTTGGATAAATCAATTCAAAAGAAGAAAATTGATATAACATACTATGGGGTTTTGGCAATTAGGTACTGAGATATAAGGTGTTTTGTCTATAATGGAGTTTAGTAGAATAATGCTAAATAAAGTGAGTGAAGACACTAATTTAGGCAAATAGATTTCCAAAATAAATGGAGCTTGAATATTTGGGGAGGAGTTATTGGCAGACAAGTTATCGGGCCTTTTTTTTCGACAACAGATTAACAGGTACAGAATACTTGAATTTTTTGACCCAGCATTTGCCTTTCCTTTTGGCGGATGTCAACCTACAAACTCGGATGCATATGTACTTCCAACATGACGGCGCACCTGCGCATTATCATAATCGTGTGCGTAACTATTTGGACACCTGGAGTAACAATCGTTTGATCGTCGTGATGGGTCTATATCTTGGCCTCCTAGATCACCAGATATGACACCGATGGACTTCTTTCTATGGGGCTACGTTAAGCAAGAATTTTGTAGGTATCCACCATCTACCCCGGAAAATATGAAGGAAAGGATTAAATATGCTTTTCTGAAGATAAGGGAACACATGCTGAGGGATGTGCAACGGTCATTTATCCAAAGACTACGGCTGTGTATTCAACATGGTGGAGATATTTTCGATCAGTTTTTGTCAAAATTAGGTCTTGAGTAGTGATAGTTGTTTGTTTATGTTGTTGTTATAGTTGTTTTTCTCTATTACGCTTGAAGCTGATTTATACTGTTCTGATTGTTATTAGTTTTTACGTCAAATCTGTACTCTTACTGGCAACATGAAACTAGTCCACTGTTTGTATTGTGTTTCCATGGATGATGTGATTTTTTTCCCTAATTTTGGTGTGTTGTTCTATTAAAAGCTTAATAACTCAAAATCTTGTGATTTTATCTGCATCAAACCTGATACCAAAAAAAAGCTTATAGAAAATTGAATCAAAACTTGCACAAATATACAGGTTGATGCATTTGAAATTTTTGAGAAAAAGTACAATTCGCGTTTTTGACCACCCTGTATGAACAAAAATGAAAATTCGAAAAAGTAACATATAAGATAAAAGCTGAGGGGTGTAGGTTTTTTTGATATAAAATTCAGCACTCCAGATTTTAAAATGGCGGATTGAGGGGTGGCCGAAGTGGACGGTTTTTCTGGACAAAACACCTTACATCTCAGTAGCTAATTACCAAGACCCATAGTATGTTATATTAATCTTCTTCTGTTGAATTAGTTTATCGAAATATGCAATAAAATTTGAGGCGTTCCATTTAAAAAATCACAACTCTGATATGTAGGTCAAAATTGGGACACCCTATATAATTGCCAATATTTTAGAAATGTGCCCTCAAATGTCATGTATAACATGCCATAAATAGATTTTCCCAAAATGTATTTTTTTATGAGTAATATTCCGTCCACGCATGGATGGGCCACCCTGTATACTATACATACATATAATTATGTATATTATGATTCGGCCTGCAAAACGTTTGTCGTATTACCGCGTGTCCACTGTATTTGGAGCTCCAAAGAACTTTTAGTTTGAAAAGGTGCAGGCGCATTTTCAATGATTTAGGCCCGTATCGTCAGTCGTCCCTACAATTGGAGGGCGCCTTTATGGCCTCCTTGATTGTCATAGTTTTCTACTTCTCCGTGTCAGAACTCTATTTTGAGGTTATGTCACAAACATCTATTTGCATCAAATTGTGCTTGCTTTTGAGTTATATCATGTTTTATCAGCCTGAAATTTCCTACAATTTAAAAAGAAAACATATCTTCACAATAGGAGAGCGCTGACGCTGACACGGGACAAGTGTAATCTAGAAATTTTTGAAGGAGAGAAAGGTGTATGACAATCAAGGAGGCCATAAACGCGCCCTACAATTGTAGGGACGACTGACGATACGGGCCTAAGTATTAAGTTATTTGGAATATTTCAACTTGTCTATTGTTAATTTTTGAAAAGTGATGACTTTATAATTTTACAATGTAGTATTAGAAAAAAATCGGAGTATAAATAAAACATTCTATATAATACTAAGATTAGCATGTAAAATCGATAACACAAAAAACGTTAAGCAAATATTTCAAATAGTGAAAAGAAAACGCTCTGGTATAATATATTTTGGACAGAAGAGCGGTGTATTTGTCACCGAGTGACGTCATGCGCAAAGGCGTATGAAATTCGATGGCGAAATGACCATATCTTCTCTACTTATAGTATGATAAGATATAGTGGAAGCTTAAAAATACCTACCTAAACCTGACATTGTTGTGCGGATTGGAGCTCCTTCTGTACTGGTCCTCGAGTATGTCCGAGTCGAATGCGGGATCCCACCACGATCTCCTTGCCGCCCTTTCAAACGGAATGGGGAAACAGCCACTCCAGCAGCCCGACTCCCTGGACATCTGCGACAGGTACGCCTGCACTTTGGGGTCCAGGGAGGACAGCTGGGCGGCGGCCGTTGCATCGCTTTCTCCTCCTCCGGCGTCCGAAATTGAGGAGGGGTGGTCTGCCTGGACGGCGTATTCTGGAACAAATCAAGATTTTTGGTAAACTTGCAACCCTACAAAATGATAAATGAATGAATTTTTTGAAACGCTGCCTAGAACAACGAAAAATCCGAGCTATCATCACTATATCGGATATGCTTTCTCAGGTACTCTGGACGCAGTGTTTTTCACGAATATCCATGAGGTACCACAAGGTTCAGTTCTAGGGCCCCTCTTGTTCTTAATATTTACATTTCATTTGGTTGACAAAATTAAAAACTCGATTGTAACTTGTTATGCCGATGATTCCCAATTATTGTTAAGCTTTCCGCCTGATGATTTTAAAATGGCTGAGGCTAAAATTAATATTTATATCGAACGCATTAATAGCTATTTTGCTACTAATAACATGACACTGAATACTAAATGTAATGTTTTAAAGGGAAAAAAAACGAAGACATCTAAAAGCAAGAATGAACCGGAAAATAATCGACACAGATTTAAAATGATGTATGCAAGAATTTGGGTCTACTCAACACAAAAATTTTAGACGCATTTAATACTTCAAGTATACAGTAAGAGGCATTATTATAGTTTATAGTATATGATATATACTAAGTGACATATAAATCCGAACACCCAGTTTAAATGGTTTCATTTTAATAAAAGTTGGTGAATGTATTTATCTTACTGTAAATAACAAGTGAAAAAATTTTCAGCCTTATCAGTTGGACATTCCTGTTTTTATCCTGCTTTTTTTTAATTCATTAACGCTCTAAAAATGAATATTTCAGCCGCAGTAAAGAATCAACGTTGGCGGATTTTGGTTCTTGACATCCTTTACGATCGGCTACGATGCCTAGAGTACGGAGACCTGTACGATTTCGTCAACTTAGTGAGTTTGATAGGGGCCTTATAGTGGGACTTCGGGAAGCTGGACTTTCTTTTCGGGCAATTGCAGTTAGAGTGCAAAGAAATGTAGACACTGTGGTTAGGTGTTGTCAGGCATGGCTTCGAGAAGGCCGTACGCAAAGAGCAAGGGGCACTGGACGCCGCCGTAGAACAACAGACCGTGAAGATCGCCGCCTAAGATTATTGGCCTTAAGGGACCGTTTCTCCACTAACAGGTCCATTGCAAATGAATGGTTTGCAGAACACGGAAGACCTATTGGCATGCGAAGTGTTTACCGACGAATGAGAAGTTTTGGCTTGTTTTCATACCGGCCACACTGGGTCCTCCCTTTAACTCGAGAACACCGACGTAATCGCCTTGAGTGGTGCAGACAACGGTCACTCTGGGATCAGGAATGGAACAGTATTGTCTTTAGTGACGAGTCTCGATTTTGTTTAGGCATGCACGATGGTCGTGCCAGGGTTAGAAGGCGACGTGGTGAAAGGAGGAATCCACAGTTTTTTGTTGAAAGGCATGTTCATCACACTGTTGGAGTTATGGTTTGGGGTGCAATAGCTTATGGTTCCAGGTCACCTTTAATCTTCATCAGAGGTAACATGAACGCTCAGCGCTATATCCACGAAGTTCTAGAACCCCATCTTTTACCCTATCTTGACACCCTGGCAGATCCAACTTTCCAACAAGATAATGCCCGACCACATGTTGCAAGAGTCACAATAGACTTCTTTCAACATAATGATGTCACATTGTTACCATGGCCACCAAGATCTCCCGACTTATCCCCAATTGAGCACGTGTGGGATATGATGGGTAGGAGATTGCTCAATTTGCAACGTCCTCCTCAGACTCTAGAAGCACTTCGAGAGGAGTTGGTGGTTGCCTGGAATGAGATACCACAGGAGGACATTGACCACCTGATCAGAAGCATGCCTAGGCGAGTTGGAGAATGCGTAGGACATCAGGGTGCATCCACACATTATTAAAGGTCAAAGGGCTTTAAAGCAGTGCAATCATTTTTATCATTTACTTATTATGCTTCATTAAGTACTTATACAAAATTTTATTAAAATAAAACCATTTAAACTGTGTGTTCGGATTTATATGTCACTTAGTATACATTTCCACTTTTTTATATTTCCAAACATTGAATGAGATTGGACAATGGCTGATCTCCGACATTTGATCATACTTTTTAGTGTCATGTTGTGATGTTAATGACACAATAAAGACATACGAGGGTGGCCCCAGAAGTACCCGACCCAACGAAGAAAACACAAAAATTTTGTAACAAAATTTTTCAACATAATCTCCTTTTCCCAGCGATGTTCAATAAGTTCGATACCCTTTTTATAATAAGAACTGTCTTGCTCCTCAAAATAGCCTTTAACTGCCGTTATCACTTCTTCATCGTTGGAAAATCTTTGACCACTGAACCAGTTTTTCAAGTTTGGAAACAAAAAATAATCCGAGGGGGCTAAATCTGGTGAATACGGTGCATGAGGTAGCAATTCAAACTTTAATTCGTTAATTTTGGCCATTACAATAACGGATTTGTGAGCTGGTGCATTGTCTTGATGAAGCAACACTTTCTTCTTAACCAAATGCGGTCGTCTTTGCTTGATTTCATCGCTCAAACGTAGCAATAAGTTCTCATAATAATCGCCGTTGATAGTTTTACCTTTTTCAAGATAGTCAATGAAAATTATCCCACGCGCATCCCAAACTTGACACATATGCTTTATAGATTGCATACTTTCTAATACAATGATATTTTTCAAACAACTATCGCCATCTCTAGGTCAGGCCGGGCACGTCAGGGACCACCCTCGTATATTATAATTATTATTATTATTATAAGTAGTACTGACATCACTTAAATTACCGATGCCAGACAAAAGCTTCAAAAACGTTTGTGTGAAATTAATATTTTCTCCCAGACATCCCCGAATTTTTTAAATTAAAAATAAAAACATCGTTTGCGTTTTCAATTTCTTTATTAATTCAAGCATCTTGTTAGCGATTTATTTAACAATGTTTGGCAAAACCGAATTAAACCTTCAACAGATTTCGTAAGCATGTGAAACAGATTTATTTGTCATTGTAGTAATTGTGGAAAAGTTAGTTTTTAATTCTTACATTTTATTTTATTTTTACGTAATATATGTGTGTATATATGTATGTCAGAAAGCTATCAAGCTCGTTGTTTTGAAGCGTCTTTTGCTGCTTGTCAAAGTTTCCTTTGATTAAGTGTTTCAATTTATTATTTAGGTAGGTTAAGTAGAGTAGCCAAGAGCTAGACTTCGCCTAAGTAGAGGTCACATTATGTTGTAGTTTATATAATGTGCCTAATAAAGACATTTTATTATTATTATTATAACATAACAAATGATATGGGTATTCAAGTCTTTCAAAAAACCGAACAGTGGTGCCCTAACTTTATTTCGAGATGTGAATCTTCGTTACGTTAAAAAGCTAGTCAAATTCTGTTTTGTGAGCTAATAACATTTTGTTGTATACCACCCTGTATATTTACCAAGTTAGGAAGTGTCCCGTATAATCTTTTTTATGATGATGGAATGATACTTATAAATAGTCATGGTCTCTCATCTCATACTACTAAAAAACAGACAGGCAAGGTTACAAGAAAACAACGGTGCTACTTTGAAATGAGATTATTTCTAGCTGTGCTTTGGAATTTCGTTCGGGGAACAACTGAAAAACGCGTGAAACAGCACTGTTAGCTTCCTTCACATCGTATGAGTGACTTCAGCGCTTCTTCGTACCATGATTTTACGCAGCAAACGTTGCTAAAAACATAACAACAGAATCGGTTAATGATTATTTTTCTATCACTGGACTGGTTTTCACAAACTGAAGATCTTTTCGCTCTTATCGCGGTATATTTCTATCAAGTCAATTTCTGTCGCATATTGTTCGATATCAAAGTCCTGCATCTCTGAAATAACACTGCGGGTCAGTTCAATATTCACGTGCATCTTCATTTATATCTAAGCATACCTAAAAATAGTTTAAATTGTTACTTGACACTGGCTGTATGAAATCTAGCATATTCATAGGTAGATTAAAGTTGGAATAAACACAACTTACAGTCAAGGATGTTCAGCAATGATTTGCGGTGTGTACCACAGAAAACAGTTTATTTTTCGTATCAAAAATATGCAGCTCGCGCCAGAAAATGTAAGCCTAATTCATTTGGATTCATATACGTACGCACCATAGCAAACGTGGATACGAGCATTTGAGTTCACCGATTCTGCCAATTTGGTGCCCTTTGGAGTATTCAAAAAAGTTTTAAAAATCGAACAATTTTCATCGAATCGATCTCTTTAATAGTGCGACAGCAATTAAATATATTGTCATTCTATTTCTACAGGGTGTCTCGAAAAAAGTGTGCTATATTCTACCAGCGGTTGCTAGAGCTTAAAATAGGAAGAAATTGTACAAAATCTTCAAATTTGTGAAGTTAGATGATACCAAAAATATTTTCATAAATAGGAGATCTTTCCCATTCCGGATCGAACAATCTACCAAAGATGTTTATAATCATGATACCTAGTAAATTTTCATTTCGCACCCTCCACCACGTGGTCGTCGTTAGACTTGGCAACCCTGCGAGTGACAGATAGATATCCCCGCCAGTCAAAACGAAAAACATTACTAGTTTTTATGGTTTTTTGGACTTAAAAGACATTATTTATGAAACGTTTTTCATAATTTTTTGTCTATGTCCATAGTAATTGCATTATGCATCAGGGAGATGTAGGGATTGACACGTCTTACACATATTATCTGTGTTTTAGGATGGAGAGGACATAATGTTTTTATTACTTTGAAGAAATTCATTAACCCATAAATTAATAAATGATTACTATTATGACGTAAAGGAAGATGAGGAATTGGATGGAATGTATTTTATACAAAATACAGACAAATCCACACTATTCAACAGGTATGTAATGATAACTTCCAGTATATTGAAGTTGGTAAATTCGAGAGTGCCATGCATTAACAAACGTCTAAATCTGCTGCCAAATTTAACAGCTAGAAAATCGACCTATTATTTACCGCATTCCCATTCGTTGAAGGGGACAACGGATTGTTAAA